CTTCCAGGTTTTCCATGGTGGTCTAGCTTCAATGGACTAATGATGTCGACCATTAAAATTACTACAATATCCACAAAACCCCTTCAACATATGCTTACTAGTAACTGGCTTCAAGAGGTATATCTTGTAGTTCTAGTGAGAAGCAGTGACGTGTAGATATTTCAGTGTGTTTCATTATATTATCATTCATAATTTTCGAATCTATAACTTTCATGTTTGTTTATTTTTTCAAATTATTTAAATAGATTTACCTCAAACACAAATTCATTTTGATCCAATTACTACAGATGATGTTAAAGCGGCTATATCATCTACAATGCCATCAGCTAGACAATTAGCAGGAAAATATTTAGAATGGCAACAACAATTTGGTTCTTCTTAATCTCACACACACAACTTATATGCTAAAAATCTCAAATCAATCATTGCCTTTACTCTCTTTTATTTTTGTTTCTTTCATTGACCTCATTTCATAATTTTACACACAAATTGACCTTCATTTTAGGTTATTTTAAACAATAAAAACATATGAAACAATAAAAGACGATATATGCATTAGGAACTATTTGAACAGTTCAATATTCAATTGTATTCATGTATAGGATATGAATTATATTTTTAGTTGTTTTAATTTATTATTTCCATGTTTGTTAGTGATTGACTGAAAGTCAACGTCAGTAATTGTATATCTTGAAATCATTAGTGATTATACTAGCCGCTTCTTTTATTGTCAAGGTGGAGAATGTCTCTAACATGTATTACCTATTAAGAGCCATTAAAGTTTATGTTTGTTCATAACCTCACAAGTTGATTTTCTGTTTTTGTTTCACATCTTAAACACAACATCGAATTTACTTGACTGTTTTTGATCTAATGTTAACTATCTAAGGATGTTTTCTATAAAACCTACTGCAGGAAATAACGTTCTCGTCGATTGAATTTTTGGGAATCGATCTCCTTCCAGGAGGTCCACTTATCGACATAGAATACTCGGATGACATAGTTTTGTTTGGTGAAAACGCCAATAAAATGTAGGGTTTTTTGGTAGCACTGAGCAGCAATGACAGGATATTTGGGATGCAATGCAAATTGTCACATCAGGATTGATCTGCTGCGATAGCTGTACTAAGGAATGAGAGTGAATTAGTCGAACACGTCGACAACTTCCCTTATGTTGCGAGTCTGATCAGCCCAAAAGTGTTGGTGTCTGACGAAATCTCAGCACGGATTGAGAAAGCTCGTTTGGCTTTTGCCAACTTACGTCACCTATGGTGAAGGCGAGATAACCGTCTATTAATTTGGGGACGAGCATACTACTTGACAGTTCGTCCTGTTCTACTTTACGGCTGAGAAACATGGCTATTAAGTGTAGAAGATACTCGTAAGTTACTAGTAATTGATCACAGATGCCTTAGAAACACTGCTCGTATCTTCTGTGATCACCGGGCAAGTAATAAAGAGGTTAGACGCATGGTATTAGAGAATGATGGTAAATCAGTTGATGAGGTTGTGGTTCACTTGTTGTGTGAGCTACTTAAATCCACGTAAGTATTATATAACGATAGTGAAGGGAATGTATTTCTGTAGAAGTTTTAGACGGGAAGAACAAGAACGGAAAGCAATTAGTATGAAAATGCAGGGACAATGAAATCTGAGACTGGATTGATATTTACAAAAAAATAGTCACGCCTGAGTCAATGGATTGATATTTTGTAAATTAACTATATACTGTATGGTTCTCAGATTTTAGTCAGATATTCTGCAACTTCGTAATCAAATACATTCAACTGCCTCACTTGTCTACTAGTTGATTACATTTTGTGTCGCTGCCAACCGGTAGGACTACTTGGAAACAGTGCAATATTCAATTGTATTCATGTGTAGGATATAAATAATATTTGATTTAATTTATTATTTTCATGTTTATTAGTGATTAGAAAATTTCTTAAACGATAATTAAAGTCATTTTATTATTAGTACATATATGGTTGGAGACTCTGGGTGACATGGCTCAGAATCGATCACAATACCGTATGTGCATACACTTTCTGTCTTCCCTTAAACTATGAGAATAAAATCATTTCATATCTTTCTTTCTACGAACTAACTCTTTCTTTCTGTACTATATCCTTACATAAAATCTTTCCTTTATTTATTACAATATTGAGTTAACTGCTTCTATGAATGCAGTGTTCGTCTTGCTGTGTTAATGAGATGTGTAAACTTGGAACGATTATTATTATTATTATTACTATTATTATTATTGTTATTATAAGCTTTATTCAATATTATATATTTGGTACAATATAGAATTCTCAGCGCAAAGTATTTCAACAAGTTTCCGTTTCTTTCTTCTTGATCGATCCTGACGATAAATATTGAGTGATCACCAGTTAGATGTTGGTAGTCCAGTAAATGAACATCTGAATAATGTGCATTCTTTTCGTTGTATATTGCCAGCGACTACATTATCTCTTATTAAGCGTTTTGTAACTTTGACAACGAAAGGTTGTACACTTTTCAGAAATGCACCAGGATAGCTTGTGCGATTAATAGACATGATAATATATTAAAACAAACAAAAATAGATAACTTTTTGAAATATCTAGATGGCAGGAACAGGTAGCCCAGATACTCAAACAGGCCGCATATATGTGCCTGGTCCTACGTTGTAACTGATTGACTGACATGTATTAATTGTATGTGAGCACAATGAAGTGAATGAGCATTCAATTGGAGACAATCAATTTACTATTTAATAGAAAATTACAGAATTATCTTCATAAAACATAAGAACTATACATAAAATATTTCACTTGCATATCTTCCATCAATTATCCTTCATATTCTGTATATACCTTCCAATTCACAACTCTTTTCTATTTTCTTCAACTTGATATTTTTAGTCTTCTGCTACCAAGCATTCCATTACCAATTTATGTTACATGCTACTTATGTCTGTTAATATAAGTAGTATATACCATAATTGAACTGAAGTTTTATATTAACTTTATTTATGTGTATACCAGAACAAATTGTCTTAAAAAACATGATTGATTTGTTAAAATGGTGATTTCTAATAAATACTGATTACTGCTACTGGTGTGGTGTGTGCTAGTTATATTGATATAAGCAGTAGATGATGTTAGTCGTGAACACAAGGTCTGGAAGCAGAGAGACAAGAGGATCGAACAGTAAAGAATCGAAACAGAATGCAATTTGTATGAAAGTGCAAGAACAATGAAGTCTAAATCATTTTGAGACAATTGGTGGACATTTTACAAATTAGGCATTTACTTTATGATTGTTAAAGTTTATTAACAAGTCTTGTAACTTTGTGTTAAACACGTTCGATTGTCCCCACTTGTGTTCTTGTTCACTACACTGGTACATTTGTTGGTTATTACTGAGAAATAAATTCAACCTGTTATACATTGCAACGGAATGAGATTGTTTTGTCGATATAAAGAAATGGAAGAAGACTGATTTATTCAGCAATCATTCTACCATTATGAAATTTAGAATAAATTATCTATCATTTTAAACTTTGAATAATCAATAAATTTGAATGAACTGAATCAATATTTAATCAATAATCTAACATGTGTCGTAGCAAGAAGGTTCACAAACCGTGATCTAATAAACTTAAAGTTGGGTCCCGTTTTTTGTCGACGAGTAGTCAATGACTGCAACGTCTAACCCGAACAAGTGGTATCAGTTTCATCAGTGAATATTTTCAAGGAGAAGTTGAAGCTTTACTGGAAGGCAATCTGTCAGGATTAACACAGATTCACAAACCTACTATCCATATTACTGAGAACTGAAGACTGCATGTGTATACAGTTTTGGTGGATCAGTAAATTAACTGACATGACTAAGAAATATGATTCATCAATAAAATTGCATATTTGTTTTTTTCTCGACAGATTAAACATTCTACTGTATCTGAACACGATACATTTTTTTCCTGTTGACTAAAAAGAAACAATTCTATAATTATCGGTATGGTGTTGTGGAGATTAATATTTTTTTGTTTGAGATCATGAACCTATTGATGCTAGAACATCATTGAAAACCTGGAAGCACTGGGCGGCCACTTCGTCTTGTTGTGCGACTCTTCAGCAGTGCGCATCCACGACCCCACATTCGCGATTCGAACTCAGGGCCTTCGGTTTTGCACGCAAACGCTTAACATCTATACCACTGAGCCGGCATCCAACTGTGTTAATGTCTAACTTTAACCAAAATTGCGTGACCATCTCCCATTATACTGGGGTAGATACCTGTCTACCTGACCACGGATTAGCTCCACAGGCCCACTAATTTTATAAAAATTTCATGGTACTGTACTTGATATTACAGAACCGAAGAACCTACTTTGTCAATCTTCAATTACCACTTCATACTAGTCGCATAATTTAAGAACTATGGTTTAAAAAACGTTAATTGTCATATAACATGTCCAAGTTCTTTCGGTAAACCAGTAACAACGACTCTGTGCAAATCTATGACATGATCGCAAACATAAAGTATTTCTATTGACTTATTAGCTAGATAATATAATATACCGGGAGTTTTGAAGTTAAACATTAACACCATTGGATGACGGCAGGTGCGCAAGACCATTATGTCCTGGGTTTGAATCTCGCTAGGCGGGATCATGAATGGGCACTGCTAAGAAGTTTTAAAATAGGATGAAACGGCTGTCCAATGCTTCCAGGTTTTTGATAATGGTCTAGTTTTAATCGATTTATGATCTCAATTATTGGAATCTGTATACATGTTTATTGTGAGTTGTTTTTTTTTTAATAATATTATCAAAATCAATCAATCAAAACACAAAGAAATGAAATACACAACTAATTTCATATTCTTTATACATCTATTAACTTTCAAATACATAATTGTCATATTCACTTAATGAAAATGGTATATTCATTGATTGACAACTAATTGGATGAGTTAGTTAATAGTTTAATACATTGATAGTAGGCGTAATTCTTTAATCAAAATGTGATTTAGATTATAAATTATTGATAATTACCAATGATTACTTAGTATAAGGAATTTTATTTAATTTTTTTTCTGGAAGAAAGTAAGTTCTATGGGATTATTGTTATATTGTTTGATTGTGGAATAGTATATTACTGTCATGATTATCAATATTTTTGGTTCAGATTGAATATATAGTCAAGTTGTAATATGACCAGCACAGATACAGAAGGCTCGACTAGCATTTGATAACTTGCGTCATTTATGAAGTAGGCAAGATATCCATCTATCAACCAAAGGACGGGTTTACTGCGCAGCAGTTCGTTCCGTCCTACTTTATGACAGTGAAACATGGCCGGTATGAGTATAGGATATTCGCAGGTTACTAGTATTCGATCATAGGTGTCTTCGAAGCATAGCTCGTATATTCTGGGACCATCGAGTAAGTAATGCAGTTGTTAGGAGAGGGGCACCAGGTAAGGATGGCAAACCAATTGATAAATAATGAAACTTCATCAGTTGAGATGACTGGGACACGTGTTACGTATGCCCGACCACCGACTGCCTCGATGTGCGATGTTTTATGGTGTGAGAGTAGGTTGGAAGAAAGCTGGGGGCGGCCAGACCGAAACATGGCACAAATCCATGAAGCCATTGACAGGTGGACTGAGCCATGTTGGTAGGTGTAGACTACCTGGCTGAGGACCGCGAGCTAATAGTAACCGATGGTTAGAGACCCTGAATGATATGGCTCAAAATCGTCTACAATGGCGCTAGTACATCCACACTTTGTGTTCTCCCAAATTCTAATCTTCTGAATTCTTCATGTCCCTCTTTTCTCTCTTTCCAAATTTATCTCACTAAGTTATACTCTTTGAATAACATCTCCAAACCTTAATGTTTCCGATTACTGCTTATACTTTTACTACCTCTACCACTACGGGATTGGAATTGACAATTGTATCTCTGTGCTAATGTGGTATGACAGCTCGAACTGATGTACGTACATATGAAGTTCTACGTTGTTACTGACTGACTGACTGGTCAGTTTTGAATTTTACTGTAAACTCACTTCTAGTAAGATTGTTTTAAAGCTTTTATTTGATAAATAACGTCTGATATAAGATCTGGATCAAACAGAGATTATTGTTTATCATCAATAATCAGCTGACGTATCTTTACAGAACTATACAGTTATTTATAGTTTTAATTTATGATGCTTGAATTGCTTCACAGAAGTTGACAGATAATTGAAGAAAGGTAGTCAATCTCTGAAATATGGAGATTCATTAAGTGGCGAGACTATAATTTATGGAGGAACTAGTTAAATATAGGATAACAGGTCTTAGATTTTGGCTTAAAATTCACTCATCCATTTGGTTAAATAGGGCTTTGGCATTATAGCTGATGTTAATTCGTGATGAAAACCCTAAATTTAATTCCTAACCCTAACCATCAACCCTCGTTCGGTCTTAGTTATTAGGTGGACACTCTCAAAGTCATTTTAGTGTCGCTCAAAGGTCGTCCATAAATTATAGTCTCACCCATTAGATTTCTAACAACATAGCATTATAAATTCATTGTTATTGGAATTTTCGTACTGCAGTAACTGATGATTGTAAGAATGGATTACGTAAATAAATAAAATAAAAGACTGATTTGAACTATCAAGTGACAAAGAAACACCATGTTGTAGCAATGGTCAGTTATGTAACCGTTATGTAAATCCAAGTCATCAAAGTTTGAATGATATTGGTTTATAAGTCATAAGTATTAAACATCCATTCATTTACAGATCAATCATTCACATTTTCCACTATAGTAGGTCAATAATATAACACTTTCATGTGGTATTGCGTATGTCATTTATAAATTTCTAAACTAAGGGTAAAATAGATTTCATAGAAAATGTAGATTGTAATTAGCACTGGACAAGCATTTTATCTTGTTTGTAACTCTTCATTTGAATGTACCTGCATCTCAGTGGTAATGTCCACATTCAGACTCAATCTTAATAACATTCACTTTAAAAGTATATGATATCAATTAACGAACTAGTGGGTCTTGATAGCTACTAACGATTTCAATGAGCGTTGCATTTATGATTATTATCAGTAGTAATAAGTTTTAAACTAATACATATGTTCAATGCTTCATTAAACTATAAAACGATTTTCTAGCTGATATCAATTTGTGACATATACAAAACATCAGATTTAACTACTCCCCATTGACTATAAAACTGAAGATATAATTCAGTAACATATAGCCTAAGGATCAATCTTAAATATATCTCAAGTTTAAATTCTTTTCAATACATTGTGGAAACTTAATGATTGATCCACGTTTCGAACAATAGGCGGTATAAAAATGATTTGTTGAAATGTATCATAGAATATACTTTTCAATATTGAAGACATTATGTAACAAGGTTGTTTTGCTTTCATTGGATCTATTCTGGTACTTCCTATGGTAATAGAATTCAGGTTAAATGCCTTCTTCAAGGACTTTAAATTATACACTTCGTTAACACCAACAAAAGCGCACTACAACTTACTCATGAAGTGTTGAGTAAATATGAATAGGTACGAATACAAACAAAGTCACTACTACTTTTAAAGCTTTAGTTAACAGTTCACAGTATACCAAGTATCAATGTTACTGTAAACTGAAAACTATTTTGACTAAATTAAAAAAAACAATTTAGCAACTCATTTCAATTGTGACTCAATGAGGTTGGACAGAATGTTTCAGGGACATTTGTTGATAACATGAAAGATAGCGATTCTGATTAATATAATATTAAGCCATCTATTAACTGTATCTTTAACAAGTACTCTTGTTATTCTACCCAAACTTTCATTCTTCCTTTTGCTTCAAATTAATCAAGGGAACTATGAGGATGAGAGAACCATTGATTTCTGGATGTTTATTTATCAATTTCAAGTTTAAATACGAGCAAACTTCATTACTTTAATTGATTTGTATCTAAAAATGCCTTATATGCTTATTAATTCTCACCTTAAACCTACTCTGGTAATATTGGCTTATAATCTAGGGTGATTAGGTTTCGAATTGTGTTCACATTACTCTTATTATCATCCTTGTCTCCACTTATCCTATTCTCAGTCTAGTTGACCTTTTATTTTTTTGTATATAAATGTTTTTAACAAGTCAGATTGTTCGAAATATATTGCGCTAATATATCATCACATAGTTTTGATTATCTTCGTCTTCTTATTACATTATTGATGTTTGATTTAACTTATTAGTGCTTTTACTGTGAATGGACTTAAATGACTTTTGGAATTTTCTATGAGAAAATGTAAATGTAAAATTGATGTCCTTATAATCGGTGGAACTTTGTCAATAAATGTAAGTTATGTAGTGAAACAATATTAACATAATGCATAATATACTTCATTTCACTAGTTGAAATCATGAGTCAATTAAGGCTAAATCATCATGGAAAACCTGGAGGCACTGGACGGCCGTTTCGTCCTAGCATGGGACTCCTCAGCAGTGCGCATCCACGATCCCGCCCCCCCACGAGATTCGAACACAGGACCTATCAGTCTCGAGCGAAAGCGCTTAACCATTAGACCACTGAGCCGGCTGGTGTCCAACGGTGTTAATAGAGAAGAGACCAATGGAGTGGAGAATTTTTTTCAATATATATATATATATATATATATATATATATATATAAGACAAAACCGGCGTCTGGTGCTTCCAGGTTTTCAGTGGTGCTCTAGCTTCAACTGACTCATGATGTCAACTATTGAAATTACTACAATCTCCACAAATCCCCTTTTGACAAGAATCAAAGTAATTATTAGAGAATCAAGCAGTTGCTACGTTGTATAATATTTAAAAAAGTGAAGGAAATAACAGAATATTTTGATGAGTTGTCAGTAGTATAGTAGTTATGTAAGAATCAAGAGATGAATGTTGAGAATAAGTAAAATACAAAAAAATACATAAAATGGAAGAAATACGAAAACAGTTTATCAAATTTCTGCTACAAAATCTTCTATACCGATGGCCGAGGTAGCAAGAGTGGTTGTACAAACTTCCTTTGTATGTAAAGGTTAGGCTTGTGAACATAGATTGCAATGGTTTCAGTAATGTGCAAAAGATGAACTCGTAAACTATGTGGCAAATTTAATGGAATATGGTTGATAACCTTGAAAGCTTTATTGAGTTTAGTGAATAATATCAATAAAAAAGACATTTATTATTGATTTGATAGAACCGGTGGCCAGATATAATGATGACCTAATTTCAGCAGAGTTAGCTGAAGGTTTTAACTTTTAAATCCATTCATACAATCAATCCTAAGCAACATAGAAATTAACACAAGTAAGTAATGGACAGATTGTAGCTCTTCACATGAATATTATGGACAAGACATTTAGGAAAAAACCGGAGTTAAAAGAATCAAAATGATTACATATGTAATAGTATAAAACACAACATAAAATATACGGTTGGAAAAATGATGACATGAATGTATAAGAAACCTTATATAATAAAAGATATAGAAATGAACTTAATTTCACTAGAGTAATCGATTTCAAGCTATTTCAACTTAGATTTTCATTCATAGATAACAATTATTTCACAGACTTTAATAAAAAAGTTTAGGCCATTTGACATAACTGAAAGTCAACGTCAGTAATTGTATATCTTGAAATCATTAGTGATCATACTAGCCGCCGTTTCTTGTCAAGGTGGAGAATGTCTCTAACATGTATTACTTATTGAGAGCCATTAAAGTTTATGTTTGTTCATAAACTCACAAGTTGATTTCCCAATTTGGTTTCCTATCTTAAACATAACATCAAATTTATTTGACTGTTTTTGATCTAATGTTAACTATCTAAGGTTATTTACAATAAAACTGACTGCAGGAGATAACGATTTCGTCGACTGAATTTTCGGGAATCGATCTCCTTCCAGGTGATCGACTTATCGACATAGAATACTCGGATGACATAGTTTTGTTTGGTGAAAACGCCAATAAAATATAGTCTTTTGGTAGCACTGAGCAGCAATGATAGGATATTTGGAATGCGTTTTTCTTTCTCTAAATGCAAATTGTCACATCTGGATTGACCTGCTTCAATACCTGTATTAAGGAAAGAGAGTGAATTAGTCGAACACGTCGACAACTTCACTTATGTTGGAAGTCTGATCAACCCAACCGATAGGTGGCATCAGTGCTTGAAGTCACTAACCTCTAGCCTTAGCCATGTTGGTAGATACAGACTACTTGGTTGGAGTACGCGTGACTATCGTAACCAATGGTTGGAGAGTGTTGGTGACATGGTTCACAATCGATCTTATTAGAGTCGGTGTATACGCTCTTTGTCTGTCCTTAAACTGTGAGATTAGGATTACTATATACCTCTTTTCTACGAACTAATTCCTTCCTGCACCATATCCTTATATGCAATCATTCTTTTAGATATTACTACCATTGAATTAACTACTTCTATGACTTTGGTGATCATCTTGTTGTGTTAATAAGGTATGGCAACTTGGACCAATGCATATATTTGCCTGGTCCTACGTTGTAGCTGACTGACTGACTGACTGATTATTAATTTTTCTTAGAGCTCACTAATTTTAATTACATTTCTTTTTTGTATTTAATTAAATTTTAGAAATGCATTCTACAGTACGCAGTGTATTTCATATTTTAAACCTAATCTGTTTAGTAAGTGAATAATCATTTTTTTAATGTAAACTATTTGTTCACATACTAATTATGTTAGTTTAAAAACAATTGAACTGTCATCCAGATCAAGTTTTACATGGACTCTCATAGTTAGACTATATTGTATAGAAAGATTTTTCAAGTGAGATTTTCATAATAATTCAGCATAACTATATATCTTACTGTTATGCTTTCATTAGTTATAGGTAAAGTGACTACTATCTGTAGTGTAATTTTTCATGCTAACTGTAAAGGTAAAGGTTAATATAGATTATTCGGTTTGCATAAAGTTTACAGTATCGACTGATAATTATATGAAACTGATTAATTGTCCAAGAGAGTGGTGAACTGACTTAATTCCAACAACTGAACCACGGTATGATAATATATTAGTCAGGAAGTTGTACTGAAGAATTGAAGATGGCCGTATCTTGTACCTACTTAGTGAGCTCAGAAAAGACTTCTTACTTTTTCTTCTCATGCTTATGTTTAACCACATTCTAAACTTGATAATCATAATTGGCTGGCTAATAAAAGAAGAATCTAGCTTTACACTAATGAATTCTCTTCTCAGTGTATTTCGTAGACGAAGCAAAGATTTTTCGCTGACAATGTTAGTTTTACGCAGTAGTTAGTTAGACACAACAATTTTTAAGTCGCGGTAGTGATTTTATTTTCGTTATTAAGTTTTGACATATGTTTACTCAACAATTCTTGAGTAGATTGTAGTGCGCTTTTGATGGTGTTTAACGGAGTGCATAGTTTAAAGTCTTTAGAGAAGTTATTTAACCAGATTTATTTTACTATTATGATGATATCAGGCTCATGAATTAGAACTTATCATCAACAAAACATATAAAAAGTTATCATTGCGTTTCTCATTCATTATGATATTAACTGGTGATGAAGGCCCTTTAGGACTTTGAGCATATCATATTCGTTTCACCCACGTAGATGGACGAAGCGATAATCTATTTTTATGCATTACTGATATGCTATAAAGTCTATTACTTAATCTGTAAGTCGGAAAGTTTTGCATACAACTGTGAAATAACTGTTAGTCGATAACTCTTGAAATTTCCTATTATAACTTATCAGTCGTTCTCATATGTTGTTCAAAGTGACCATATAAGCTCTCAAAATTTCACATGTAAGCAATTCATATTGCTATGGAAACTACTCATACATGTTCATATTATTTTCAAAATGGCACTCTGTAAAAATGAGCTTTTTATCTGTCAGAGTAAAGTCATAAGACTTTAACAAATATCAGTAAACAATCAAATCATTAACTTTTAAAATAATTGTTTATCGTTAAAAAAAGCGATAGGATGATGGCTTAAACATGAATGGGATTGTAAACAATGTGACATAAGTCAATGAAATATACTAACAACTGAATAAATTAAATCTAATCAAATGTAAAGAACGAATGAAATGTTGTGCAAGATCATGAGACGATTAAAGGTGGATACCAGCTAAGTGCTCACGCACGAGACTGAAAGTCCCTGGTTCGAGTCCTGCATACGGGGTCGTGGATGCGCACTGTTTAGGAGTCCCATACTAGAACAAAACGGCCGTCCAATGCTTCCAGGTTTTCAATGATAGTCCATCTTACATCGAATCATGAATTCAACCATTAAAATGGAAAGAAATCTACTTTCAAAATATTAAATTTAATCATGCGTGTTGATAGTAATTGAATGCTGTCATTTTGATCAATAAGTCACATGATAATCAAAGAAATAAAATGATTAGTGTAATTTATGTTTTTAATGTAACTTCATTGTTGTGCTCTACAAAAAAACATATAGATAGTTCAGTGATTTAATTCAGTTCATTTTATCGGATTGACTTTATCGTAAGTCTATGAGATATGGACGAAATGCTCCGATTTAAGATAACGAGTCTTGGATTTTGGCGCGAAATTCATTCATCCATATAGCTAAACAGCATTTTGATGTTATAGATAATGTCAGTTCGTGATGAAAATTCTAACACTAATTTATAACTTGAAGATCCAACTGTAAATCCGAATCCTAACTCATTACATTAATTTATAACCCTATTTTAACCTTTAATAATTTTGTAAACATTCTCAACGTCACTTTACTTTGCTGAAAGGTCGTTCATAAATTATAGATTCACCAATCTTGCTTGTTAAATAATACGGTAACCACGACCAAAGTACTAAGAATACAATTAGTTTAGATTGATATCATTGATGGATCAACGTTAAATCACAATTTGTATTGTATGTATGAAGAAATTTTATGAGTTATTTTCAAACACTCACAATTTATAAACACATTTAGCTATCAGTATGGGATTGTGGAGATTGTTGAGTTTTGATTGAGATCATGAGTGGCTTCATGTTAGACCACCATTGCAAACCTGAAAGTACTGGACGGCCGTTTCTTACTAGTGTGGGACTCCTCAATTGTGAACATTCACGATCCCGCCCTCAGGACTCGAATCCGTGATATCAATCCAAACTCAACAAACTCCATATATTGATAATAAAATTAATGATAAGATGATATTCACAATAAAATTTAGGACACATTCATAAATCCTTAAATAAACAGTTACTATATTTAATATTTTATTAAGACTGTTCATTTTAAAGATAGTTTACGCTAAGCAGCAGTTCACACATAAATGTTCTTGATATGGATCAAATCCAGGAAGTTCAGGTTTCCTAGCAAGCAAATAAAATTTAAATAATCAAGTTGGCTTCTATTAGCATAATACATTTTTACACTTAGAAATTTAACAGTATAGCAAAATTATCATCCGTCACCTTCCTTAATGACAGTATGGTGGAGAAGATTTGTAGCTCATGTGGATGATTTTAATAGAGTTTTGTTCTCTGAGCTGGATAGTTTGGTCTGGGAGCTTTCGTCGTTCTTCTACACAACATCATCAGAAAAGTTGTGAACCACATATGAAGAAATTTGAACACTTCACTTCTACCTGAAGTTTCTGCTGATGATGTCATTTAGAAGAACAATGAAAGCTCTACGACCAAACCATCCAGCTCAGAGAACAACACTCCAACAAAATCAATGACAGTATATCGTTGGATATGCTTTTTATCATTCTATAAATTTAAACTAACTTTCGATTTTATTTTTCAGTCCATTTTATTATTAGCATTTGTCTTTTTTGTCATTACATTTTGGACGAAACTCTCTGTTAAAATTGTTGAGCCAACATTGAATAAATTACGAATAGATGGTGTAAATAATCGAACCGTAATCGATGGAGTGAACAGTGTTGTACGAACTTTTACACGTAAGTTTATAATAATTTCAATAGTTAAGATCATGAGTCGATTGAAGCTAGACCAGCAAGGAAAACCTGGAAGCACCAGATAACCGTTTCGTACTAGTATGGGAATCCTCAATGGTGCACATCCACGAAACCCCTTCTGATAATAATAATAATAATAATAACCTTATTTAATCTTATATGCTTGTATCTGTAGTGGCTAAGCTTCGTTTTTTTAGGCGACTGGCATTTAAGTTAGAGAGATATGTGCGTAGGCTGTCACATGTGATCGAGCGTACATGTTTGTACAGGCATGAAAATGATCATAATAATACAAAGAAATAGATGGATTACTACTGTTCGAATGACATTGGTAAATAAGTTCATATAAGAGCTTGACAAAATTAACCATAATCGAAATGAATCGTAGGAGTGTTACTATATATCAACCATTTTAATTGTATATCTGATGGTATTTTACGTAACTTTGAATAAGCATGGTGATTTCACCAGCCATTATGATAGTTTTTTATCTTTCACATTACAGGGTTATGTTGTAGGCTGTTTATTGCACATTTTTATCTAAATACCTGTTTATTTAAAACCAATTTACATGAACGAGTTCACTGCAACTTTTTAGAAAATAAGAACAGTAGTTCTAAGCTATCTGGTAAAGTTAGAAATATTTTAATGTTTGATAAGTTTATGAATAAGTTAAATGAGATTCAAGTAACTAGTGTGCATCAATCTGAGGTTATTTATTAACAGATAGGCTGAAGCACAGTAAGGCATTCTGTACGCTAAATATATAAGTTTACAAATGACTAATTTATTTCTAATTGAGATCATGAACCGATCAATGTTAGACCATTATTGAAAACCTGGGAGTACAAGACGGCCATCTCATCTTAGTCTAGGACTCCTCAATAGTGCAGACCAACGACACCTGTCATGGGACTCGGAATCAGGACCTTCAGTCTTGTGAACGGACGCTTCACCTCTAGACTACTGAGCTGGCATCCAACGGTGTTAATGTCTGAATTCAAGCAATCCGCGATATTGCAAGACGATCTTCTATTGTTTTAGGTGGGTAAATACCTCGCAACTGACTCACTTGAACTCCACTATTCATAGCTTTTCACTAGGACTCTGAGAATTATAATCTTCACAACCCTATACTGATAATTTACTTTCATCGTAAAATGTATGCAGGTAAACATTCATGAACCTAATAGAAAAGATATTCTTACATAATGCAGAAACAATGATTTTTGTCATATGTTATGTGTTCTAAATAAGTTCTTGCGTATTTGTTCTTTTAGGCAGAAATAATAAAGTATTTATGGAATAGATGGGTTTGTGGTTAGCATAGTATTTATTTCTTGTTCTGTCTGATAACAGATAAGCTGAAAACGTCTATGAGAGCATGTAGAGATGGTTTAGTTTTTAAAGAATGGATCACAAACTAATCTTAGTCAGAGAACTGTTGAATACTAGGAAGCAGTGGACAGCTGTTTTATAGTAGAATGGGACTCTCCAACTGTTGGCCGTTGTTTCAACTTAGGAGATCGAACCAAGGGCTTTTAAGTCTCGCAACAAGCGCTAGATTCTCTCACCACTAACCCAGTAACAATAATCATATACAGGTACTACTTTTAAAAGGTAACTCAGTGGGTTTTTGTGAGACCAGTTGAGTTCAACCGTGTTAAGTGAGAGACAGTTATCTAACAAATGTAATGGGGGATGTTCCCACACCATTGTGATTCCATTGAAGTTAGATAAGTTACATATTTTCTACCTATTAAGGGGTCCCATACTAGCACGAAATAACTGTCCATAGCTTCCTGGTTCTCAGTAATTGTCTGGCTAAAATCTTTCCATGATGTGAAGTATGAAAATAGAAATTTAATAGTCAGATGGCTGATTGGTATATAGACAAATAACAGCTGCTAGTTATGAAAAATGTTTTAAGTAACCTTTCACAACTAGAATTATTATAGAATGAGGACTAACTTTACTTGCAGCTTCAATAATTCTGAGCAATATAGTGCAATTTAAGTCATCTATGTTTAGCAATAAATCATGATGCAGTTAAGAAAAAGGGACAATCATCAGGAATAATGAATCATAGAAATGAGCTAACTGTTAACTCTGAATAAGCAGTGGAGATCTTAATACTCAACATATCAGAGATTGAACTAAATATTAGCCAGTCCTATTTTAATAATTATGGATTAGTCATGAAGATCACAACACTACTCTCATTGTAGTGATTTAACCAAAATTTATACTTGGTCTTCTCCAACACAGTCGACCTTATCTGTGAAATAGATGTGCATATAAATTACTTTTATTAGGTTTTATTTCGAGAAATAACACAATGTAATATTTACCAATATACCACATGGTACGTCCTTGATTCGTCTACCCACATATACACAGAGGATACTTGTCTAATCTAGATTAAGACCTTGACGCGATAGGTTGTTTGGCTTAACCTTGAAGCTAGTATGCATAAGTTCGGAGTGGGGTAGAGAGACGAAAACGATTGTATCACCTGACTGGCTGACAAGCACGCGAGTGAGATAAGTCAACCGGAACACTATTCCCGATCCCGATCTGACTCCCGATTTCAGATCGGTGTAAAAAGATGCATGAATAAACAGATGACTAAACCGACCACAACGTACAGTAATTAGGAAAATACAAAACTGGAGATTATAATAGGAAATAGAGTACAATATAATACGTTTAAATTAAAATAGCTTTAGGACAAAAAGGGCTATGGTAATGAATCATACATCAAACCAAAGTACATGACCTGTAGAATAGACTACGGACAGAAATAAATGTTACTGTTTTACAAGTTGTGAATTAAATGAAAGAATGTCCCCAAAAATATTTTCCGTAGTTTGTCAAGTCTTCTTTTTCTCTGTTCACATCACTATACATTCATGGTGTTTTTTGCTTGATTTATTTAAGGTCCGGTAATTTTACCATTGATGGCGATATCACTTGTATTTGCTTGTATTTATTTCTTTGGAGCAATAATCGCTTTTAATCGAAGCAGTACATTTTTTCTTATGGTAGGTTCCCACAAACTTTAACATATATTCGGATCAAATAAAGTTGTTTTTGAATATAATCTTTAAATCCATAGTAATAGATCAAACATTTTTACTTATACTTCTAACTATTGGATGATTCCTGATCAAGAGTATCCATAAAAATATGGAAATAATGAAGTGCAAAATATTTAAATATAATTACAATAATGATAAACGAATATGGTTGCACAAGCAAGTGGCTATCAGTACTCAGTAGCTGAGCGGATAAAACGATGGCGTTTGAAGCGAATAGTACTGGGTTCGAGTCCCAGAGTGTACATCAACTCTGAGATGCAGGTACATCCAGCTGACGAGTCCCGAATAGGACGAAACGCGCGTCCTGGATTCCACTGCTAGCCATTATACATCATTGAGATGGCGGAGAAGATTTGTAGCTCAGGTGGATGATTTTGGTGGAGTTTTGTTCTCTGAGCTCAGAGAACAAAACTCCACCAAAAACTATACATCATTGCTTACGAATATGGTTATGTTATATTTAAGTGAGAATAAGATCTCAATAACAAGATAATTATATCTGTACTGACTATTTGTTTTGAAATGCGTTCTTGTGGTAATGGTTTGAATCTTGGTATAATGGATATCTTAGATTTTAAGAGTGAGGCGATGGTCACAAACAACGCTGTTATCAAAAACTGAGTGAAGTTGATGATGGCAACTGTTAAATGAGAGCTCAGTTGCTAAGTGGTTAAACACTCATTGTGAACTCTTACTGACATAGGCAGTATCCTTGATAAACAAGAGAGTTCTGATGCAGACGTAATGATAGAGATTAGCAGAGCAAGGACAGCATTTCTAAAACTGAGGAACATATAGAACTCGAAACAACTGTGAACTAACATCAAAGTCATAATCTTCGATACGAACGTCAAGACAGTTCTAGTATACGGAGCTGAAACTTGGAGAATTAATACAGCCATCATCAAAATGTACAAGTATTTCTGAACAATTTTCTACACAAGATACTCAGTATCCTTTAAGCAATAGGCTACTATGGAAGAGAACAAACCAGTTTCTATTTGGTGAGGAAATTAAGAAAAGATGCTGAAGATGAATTCATCATACTTTAAATAAAAACTATCACAAAGGAAACCCTAACTTGCAAACTTCAAGGCAACGTGAAAAGAGGAATAAATGGAAGGAATGAATATGACTTGGCAAATACTAGAAAGTAGAGCTCGATCTTTGGTCAACGAGGGGTAACAGGCCCTAATTATTTAAGGGAAACATAAAGATTCTGAGTTGAATCTGAGTTGACAGTGGTGAGATATTCGAGTGAGCTAATTTTCAATATGACAATCAGAATTCATGGAGAAACCGACTCTGGTTTACAAAACGACATATGAATACTGTTTTATTAGGTACAACGGTTGTATCACAAGTAAATAGCATATGAATACTCTAGAAATGTAATATACAAAATTATTTAATACTTAGGGTCAGTTAAATATATTAGTATTATTTTAAAACTACTTTATAAAGGAAAAAAACAACACCAAGTGAATTTAAACTTCATCCGATTGCACAGGCGAGTGGCTATCAGGATTCAATAGCTAAGTGGATAACGCAATGGCGTTTGAAGCAAAAAATACTTGGCTCGAGTCCCGGAGTGAACGTCAACTCTGGGATGAAGGTACATCCAGCTGAAGAGTCCGAAATACGAAGAAACGCGTGTCATGTATTCCACTGCTAGCCACTATCCAACTTTGCTTAAAAAAGATATATTGTAAAGCCTCATCTATTATAAAGCTTGTCATATTGTTAAAGATAAGTTTTAATATAATTCACTGATATGTAGTGGCTTTTCTTGGTTAATCAATCACCCTTGTAACCGTTATCATATAAATTTCAACGGTATTTGATTCAGATGGCGATGAGAAACGGTAACTACAGTTCCATAGCAGATAGCGCAGATCACAAAGCTATAAACACATCAAGCTTATTTGATGCAGACAGGCGAATATGTATATACGATCAAATACATAGGGAAATTTATAGTCAAATTTCATAAGGCCACAGTAAGGCTAAGCAAAACGTATTAATAGGATTTAAGTACACACATACATGGGAAGAAGGATGAATGGTCGAGTGATATTTAAGCAATCAGTTAGATGATATTAATATCAAGGAAAAGACAATGTGTTCATTTGATGTAAATTCCTTGTTTACAAATGTACCTTTAAAAAAAACCATTGATATATTATGTGATTACATATCTGAAAACAATTTTCAATCACGTGTACCTGTAAAACTTCTTAAAGATTTACTATTACTATGTACTGACAAAGTTCAGTTCACTTTTGAAGGTGAATACTTTCGTCAGATTGATGGAGTTGCTATGGGTAGTCCGCTAGGACCATTACTAGCAGATGTGTTCATGGCACATGTTGAAAATCAGACTGATGAATTAATCGGAAACATGTCACTTTATAAGAGATATGTGGACGATATCTTAGTTGTTTGTGAGAAAAAAGAGGATATGTACGGTTTATTAAATAAACTCAACACTCTCCAAAACCATATTAGTCTCTCATGTGAAGAGGAGAAAAACGATCAGCTTCCCTTCCTAGATATACTCCTGAGTAGACGAGAAGATGGTTCAGTAAAGCGATCTATTTTTAGAAAACCAACGTGGACAGGTCAATATCTTAGTTATTATAGCTATTGCCCTGTGCAATACAAACGTGGTTTGATAAGGTGTCTTTTCAACAGACTCGACCGTATTTGTACCAATGACGCCATTGATGATGATGTTAAGTTGTTAAATAAAACGTTAATAGAAAATGGCTATCCTCTGAAATTCATAAATAGATGGAAAGTCCATGGTTCAGTGAGACCTACTATAGCCTCGGTAGAGAAAAAGCCTGTCTACATCACCTTACCATTCAGAGGTGATTCAAATATCGTTTTACTGAAACAACGACTTAAATCAGTCATCAATAAAACCTATTGCGCAGCAAAGGTCATCATCAAAGAAAGAACAAGGTGCATGCTTCATTCAAAACCTAAAGTACATGGAAACGATTGCGTCACATCCCACTGTGTTTACCAATTTAAATGTGTGTGTGGTCACACATACATAGGGAGGAGTAATCGTGATCTAAACATTACGGTGAGTGAACATGTACCCAAATGGCTTCAGAAACAAATACAATCAAGTGACTCGATAAGAGCAGAGGATAAACATCCATCATCCTCTATTGCTAAACATATAATTGAAACAGTTCATAAGATTGATCTAAATTCAGCTTTTGTAGTGCTGTATAAAAGTGTAAAAGGGCGTATACTAAGGTTCATTGAAGCCTTAGCCATACGAAAATTCAAACCCCCTTTATGTGTTCAAAAACAGTTTGTTCTTACCTTAAACCTACCCTGGTAATATTGACTTATTATCCAGAGTGATTAGGTTTCAAATTGTGTTCACATTAATATTATTATTACTCTTATCATTATCCTTATCTCCTCTTACTCCGTTTCCTGTCTAGTTGACCTTTTATTTTTATATATAAATGCTCTTAACAAGTATATGTGTGACCAGATTGTTCGAAATGTATTGCGCTAATATATCACATAGTTCTGATATTCTTCGTCTTCTAATATCATTATCGAAGTTTATCAAAGGGACTAATTGTTTTAAATCAACATATTTTAGCTAGAATCCGTCATATGCTCTAATGATCATAACAGTACAAAGAACTATGCAGATTGTTACTATTCAAATAACATTGTCTACTAAGTAATTTAATATAAAGTCTTAACCAAAATTAACCATAATCGAAATTGGTTGTAAAATAGTTGCTATGGCTATACTATTGTCTATAGTATCATGTTTTATTCATTTATTTATTTATAAAAGTTGCATGATTTTTTTAGTATTTCAATAAAATACAAATTTTTTCTTGTATAAGACAAGTTTTCATTGAATTTCTTTTTCAGTATGAAGTTACTTTAACAGTTTGTATAATTGTGCATATAGTTATGATAACTATTGTGTTAAAAAATCCAGAAACAGTATGTTAATCATTTAGTCTTTCAATGTTTTAATGAAGTTTTATAATAAATTCAAGTATGATGATAACAGAAGGGATTTTGCGGAAATTTTAGTAATTTCAATAGTTGATATCATGAGTCAATTGAGGCTAGATCATCATGGAAAACCTGGAAGCACTGGATAGCCGTTTCGTCCTAGTATGGGACTCCTCAGCAGTGTGCATTCACGATCCCGCCCCCCCACGAGATTCGAACTCAGGACCTATCAGTGCCTAACCATTAGACTACTGAGCCAGCACTCAACTGTGGTAATGTCCAACTTCAACCAATCCAAGAATCAAGTACGATTCTTTATAGACTGATTTATTATCAAGTGAAATGAAATGATATTTTAAGTAATTATAATTGTAATATTGGTTTACAACTATAATCAAAATAAGACATAGTTTGTTTGTATTCAAAGTTCAGGTTTCATTTCATGAATAGCAAGAGTATTTAGGGTGTGTGCTACTGATATCGATCAAAAGTGAAGTGCCTAGTGTCACAAGGTTCAGATGATCGAAGTAAAGAAAACGAGAACAGAAAATGATTGGTATAGAAACGAAAGACGATCGATTGATATTTTGCAAATTAAGTATTCTGTAATTTGTGTGTTCAAATATATTCGTCTATTCACCCTTGTGTTCTAGTTCACTACAAATATACTGTGTGTTTTTTTTAAGGAGCAGAACACGAAGAAAACGTGATAGATTTGTTAAGGATTTTATAAACAAACGTGCGAATTTTTCGATTGATTAGAATCTAACTATTGACACCTTAAATATTTCTTAAATAAATCATTTTTATTCAGTCTCTAGACTGATGTTACATTCTAGTATGGAACTTCTCAAAGATATACATTCATGACCTCACAAATACCTGGTCACAGAACCTTCAGTTTTACACATGAACAGTTAACATCTAGATCTATAAAATTCAGTCTATTGTTGTTCACATCAAACGTTCATCAATTTACGATATCGTACAATTAATATCCAAAACTCTTAAAATGATAATTGATGATTTCAGTTCCAGTTTCATTTTGGAAACGACAGGAGGTTTGATAGCCTGTGTTAGTCCTGGCAATGGTGGTCTCTCAGTTGATCCGACTTTCTTTTGAAAGAGTCGATGGATGGAGCCTCAACCACGTGCTGAGGTAATGAATTTCACTCGTTGATGATTCGATGGGAAATTCGATAGTCAGCTGATAAGTAATTTGTTCTGGGCTTGTGAATTTTTTCGGAGTGTCCTCGGAAATTCTGTTTTGGAAGACAAGAAAAATGAGGGCATATCAGGTTCAAATTTATCACTAAGAGATTTGAAAACTGTAATCAAGTTGCCTCTAGTTCTACGATATGACAACGGGAAAAGGTTTAACTTGGCCAGTCGAGCATCATACGGAAGCTTCGCTATTCCGGGAATCAGCTTAGCTGCTGTTCTCTGAGCCTTTTTCCAGAAGCTCACTGTCTTTTCTTAGGCACGGGCTAGCCGCTTGTATGCAGTACTCAAGTTTAGGACGTACGAACCCTGTATACAAAATCAAAGACGTTTTAGCGTCGACATGACCAAAAGCCCTACGTATTGATCATGAGGTTCTAAAACCTTTGGCGGCTATTGCACTTCAGTGAGCGGTAGTCTTTAAGTCTTGGCTAACGATGACTCCTAACTCATTATGTGTCTGAACGACATAAACTTTTCATTTTAGTAATTATTGGCTACTATTTTCTTAAACTTAAACAAACATACGAATAATATTTTCTCTTTTATTTGTTAGACAGAAAAAATGATGGAAAAACTTTTTGCAAAAAAATTTTATCTCTATCGATCAATGAAGAGTCATGATGGAGCAAGTTTATTTGCGGCTGTCGTAATGATAGAAGTAAGATGAAATTATAAATTGTATGCTATCATGATAGAAAAAGAAATGATAGTCTTCTTTATTATTATAGTCTTAATGTGATACAGGATATTGGAACTAGATTAGCAGTTTCTGTTGGGACTGTAGTAAATTTGATTTCATTTATAAGTATTTCTATGTTATTATTAAGGACTGTAAATTGATTATTCTCTTTCTTTCCGATATATTCACTTGAGCAAATTGTATTTGAAGATTTATTCAATTACAGGGGTTTATTAAAGTTGATTGATGTGTTGGAGTTAAGTCGAAGATGCCTGTTTAGTTTTATGTAACACTCATCAACTGGTTGAACTTGTATTCGGGGAATAGAAAAGTATTGGGTTCCTCTTAGGATGCATCTGTTATAGAAGTGACAGTTCAGTTATAATCCTTAATATCAACAGTGGGAAACTAAACATTTTATGAATAATATTCATATTTATTACATAAGCTAGGGGGATCCAGGCTCAGTAGAACGGTTAAATTTACAAATGCAAGATTTAGGTTTCAGTATACAAATCAATACAGGGACCCAAGTGCAATAGGATAACGTGCCCTAAAAAAAAACTAAGTTTCGTTGGTTAGGAAGTAGCATTTTCTTATACTATGGCAACTATTGAAATCCGTGTAGATTTAACAATTAGGCTACTTGTTATTGAATTGCTTAGTAACAAATTTGAACTGAGCTTCAGCTATTTCATTTTAAGCAATTTAGTGGTGTTTATAAATCTTATACTAAGTATGTCTCAAGTCCAAGAGTACGATTTCTTACTAAGTGGAGTAAAACAACCGATGTGCGATTCAAAGTAATAACATAATAGGCTTTTAATTATCAAACACTCAAGGTTTTAAAATTTACTTATATTGATGTTGTATGATGTATGACATAAAGATTATTATATCAACTTATTCTTAGTAAATAAGTTATACATATTTTACATAGTTTACGTTGTAATAAAAGTTTGAACTTAAGTGTTTTATTGATTGAAATCATGAGTCCATTGAAGCTAGATCATCATGGAAAACCTGGAAGCACTGGACGACCGTTTCGCATCCGCGATCCCGCACCTCTCGAGATTCGAACCCCGGACCTATCAGTCCCACGTCAAGCGCTTAACCAACTAAACAACAGAGGTGCGGAATCGTGAAACAGCACTACTGAGGAGTCTCACAACAAGAGAAAACAGCCGTCCAGTGTTTCCAGGTGGTCTAGCTTCAGTTGACTCATGATCTAAACTATTGAAATTATTTAATATCCACAAAAACCCCTTCTGATATTAATTGTTTACATACTGTCCACGATAAATTTTGGAACAACCATTAAGTCATGTAATAATGACATAACATGTGTTAGCGTGTTATCAGTGAAATATGACGCTCCGAAATTCACATTACATTTAAACAGATATTCTGCATTTGATTTCCCACTAATATTTTAACTTCTGACGTAAATTTTAATACACGTTTTTTTGCTTAGATTGGTAATGTTGTGACTTTAAGACCGGCTAGTTATCACGTAATTTATTCGCTCATGGAAATACGACTATTTCACTCTTGTACTATGCTAAACCAATGACGTTCGACAGGAATGAACAGACTAGAGTCCTCATTGATCTTTTGTTTGCCTAGCCCGTCCAGTTCAGTTCAGAACGACAATAACAGCTTCCACTATGCGAATCGTTTATTTCAAACATACTGGGCTTATATAACAACCAAACAGACCGCATCACACCATAAAATAGGAAATAACATTTATTCATAATAAAGCCTGAATGTTTTACTGTCTCATGTTTTTTAATATCTAAACAGTTAAAATGCTGTGGTTACATGAATCCTTTTGATTTTGACGAGGACAGAGTAGAAATTACCGATGAATATGATGGTCATACTTATGATGGTAAGCAAAAATATTTGTTTTTCTACACAAATATCGTCTCTGTCAGCACCTGACTTAAAGATAGGGAATGAAGTGTTCATCTTGCTGTGCTAATGCGGTATGGCAACTTGGACCGATACATATATGTGCCTGGTTCTATGTTGTAGCTAACTGACTGATCAACTACTTGTTTTCACTTTATAATAATGACTATGATTCATTATCCGAATCATTAGCTTTTTATCTTACAAGGTTTGAAAAAAGCAATAAATTCCAGCCCTAAAACATCTTGTATGATAAAACGTATTTGAATGTAGAAATCGAAGGCTTATGGACCTGTACTATTAAAAAGATATTATGAATTTATTGAAATAGAACATGTGATTCATTGTATGATAGTTCAATGGACTAAAATATAAACTCTAGGCTCGAGATCTCAAATTCCTAGATTCGACTACCGGTCAGATCATAGATTGACATTGTCAAGTCAAATGGTAGGACAAAATAATTATATAATGTTTTCTGGTTTCCACTTGTGGTCTAAGTAACATGAGTTCATGGTGTATATTGTGAAATCCAATAACTTCCACAATACGTTAATGATAAATAAATTCCTTTGATAAAATACCTAATATTATAAAATGCTGATTTCTGCAATCACAAAACAAATGTGAATTTTTATAATTGAGATCACAAACCGATTTTAGCTAGAACACTATTCAAAACTTGAAAGCATTGGACGGTCATTTAGTCCTAGTATGGGACTTACTAGCAATACACACCCTCTTTTCTATAACAGAGAATCAAAACCAAGACCTACCGTCTCGCACGCGGACGTATAGATCACTGATTCTGCATTTAACGATGTCAATGTCTAGCTCCAATCAATACATGATCATATACTGTATAACACCCGACAAAGATTGAAGTTAGACAATAGTACCGCTCGATGTTAAATTAATGGTTCAAGCGTCCGCTTGAGAGACTGTAGGTCTTAGATTTGATTCTCTGCAACAGGAGTGAGAATGTGCATTGCTACGGAGTTCCATACTAAGACTAAATGACCATCCAATGCTTTCAGGTTTTAAATGGTGTTCAAACTAAGAGCAGTTTGTGATTTCAATTGTGAAAATGCTAGAATATCCACATATTCCTTATATTAAATTCCAATTTATGAAGTGAATATTAAAGATGAAACTAAATAAGACTAAATTGGCTTTATGAAATTCAACTTTTTCATTTTTACCATTTTGTTTCTTTAATCGTTTTGTATGAAACAAAGTAGCTACAATGAGTAACCCAGTGATTTAATGACATACTATACAAGTGTAAATAGTAATTAAGTAAAATTGTTAAAAATAACCCTTAAAGGTTTTGTATTCACACACATTGGAGAGAACATTCTCTGATATTAAGATTAAACATTGGATGTTTGTAATGGACAAATCTAGAAAGTAATATTTGATGAAAAATCTATTACGTAACGAAATTTATCATTAACGATTAAAATAATAGTTTGTAACTTTTGTAAACATACTTTTCCTCAAGAAAATTACTATTTCACTGTTTCAAATCATGAGTCATTTGAAGCTAGACTATCATGGAAAACCTGGGTTCGAATCTTGCGGGGTGCGGGATCGTGGATGCGCACTGCTGAGGAGTCCCACAATAGAAATAAACGGCCGTCCAGTGCTTCCAGGTTTTCCATGATGATCTAGCTTCAATTGACTCATGATTTCAACTATTGAAATTTCTAAAATCTCCACAAAACCCTTTCTGAAAATTACTATTTCTGTCCATAAAATGATAATAGTTTCACAATAGCTCATGGATCAAACTTCCAGGTATAGACGTTTATCATAAAAGGGCAATGTTATTCATCACACAACTGAAGATGGGTTCAGTGAATAAATGAAGGTTTTTCTTAATATCGTTTACAGCACTAGCCACCTTAAACAAGAATTGAGTTAGAAATACTTTGTAGAGTATGTATGTTACAACTCATACAATAAGAATATACGTATAATATTAGTCCATAAGTAATTTCTAACGACTACTATCCATTTATTCTCGTCCGGATATAACTGTATCGTTATTCATTATCACCGGAGCTGTTACTTCATTGTAATACTTAAACATCATTTATATCATATATTTTCTTTCAGACTTAGTATTACCTGTACCATGCTGTTTGATGGATAAAGACTTGAAGTTGATTGATGTAGATTGTCCAAGGTTCCATTACATATCAGAAAACGATCACAAACATCACAGTCAAGGCTGTAAACAAGTATTTGGTCGTAAAGCATTTAGTTTCATAGCATACATTGCTTATTTATCAATAACTTTGATTGCGATCAATGTAAGTATTATATGTATAATGGTGAATGAATTCACTTGGTGTTATTTTACTTGTATATTTCCATTGTTATTTAGGACTGCAATTGATGATCATTCTCATGTTGGTATATATCCATCTTGTTCGGATCGCCTCAATATAGCCTTAAGTCACAAACGTTTTAAGCAAAGATAGATAGTGGCTAGCAGTTGAATCCAGTTTGACGCACGTTTCGTCCTATTTGTAACTCGTCAGCTGGATGTACCTGCATTGCAGAGTTGATGTTCACTCCAGGACTTAACTCGCAAACCCCATGCCCAACTCTCCTCCTTTATCCGAACTTGGGACCGGCAGTAGCCCCCGGAGGGACTACAGGCGGAGTTCTATCATCCAATTGAGTGAATTTTATTATGTTCGAGGTTGAGTATATTGTAATCTGGCTATTTAAACCTGAAATAAATGCATGATCACATTTCTCACATAATTATTTCTCAGGTAGAAATCTTATGTAGATTTCTTTTTCGTTTAATAAGTACGGGGTCAATAAAGTCAATATAATGCACAGAATTCATATCGTCAACTAGAAATTCTAGTTTATCAAAACATCAGTATTTGTAGGTAAGGACAAATTAAAGTTGACAAAAGAAAGACTTCCTATTAATTTTTACAGTAGTTCTTGATATGTATGATTGAAAATAAAGTTAACCTTAGTGAATTTAGTACCAATAGGTCATTTAACCAATATGGAGTAATTCTTTTACACTAATATCTCGTGGTAATAGTTTATTGGCTAAATTCATGAAAACTACGAATCCTTCAAATAGTTGAAGCAATAGCTATTCGTAACGAAATACTGGAGCTTTCCGTCCAGCTTTTATAACAATGACCTGATTAGTTAACATACATTTTAATTTCATGATATGACCAATGTACAAACAGCTTTCCTTTTTGTATTTTCATAGCTTAGATTTGTTTTATTCATAACATCTTACTATTATTATTATAATGTTTGTCAAAGGTTTAAGAAATTCGGTTGCCAACCAGTCGTATTTACCGATTTTTACCCAATTTATATTTTTCGATCTGTTACGTAATTTGTATTGTAATTATACTCTCACTTAATAGTAGTTATTGTTTATTCTGCTGATTAATCTTACAATTTCATTTATCATACAAACTGTTATATCTAGAGCTTAGATTCTTCATATACCCTGTATAACTTGAGCACTCGAAAGCTAGAACCTTCCAAGTCGCAAATAAGAAGATAGAAGAATGGAGAAAATGCTTGTTGGGCAAGAAACAAATCATTGATATTTGTAGATATTACCGTTTGTTAAATCAAAATTATAATTTAATCATGTTAAGCTACTGACGAATAGTAGCATGCTACGTTGATATTCTAGAAAGCTCCACTGCGTTCTTATTGAATGGAACTCTTCAGCCGTTCTAGAGCCTCTGAAGGCTCTGTCGTAGTTATTCAAGCTAACATAAGTTAATAGTTAGTTAACTGCTCACAATGTCATATTGTTTTGAAAACACTATATACATATATCTATATAATCTTAAAATATGCATTTTTGCCTTAAACAGAGGTACTTTGGGGATTATGAATTTGAGCACATACTTGTAGAAACTGAAGAGAATTTATTGAAATGAATAGTCTTTATTCATTGTTTATGTTTTAATATGATGAAAACTATTCAGCTTTAAAAGAATAGTTCATCCTTAAATGAAATAGATATGATTCAATCTCTAAATTGATTTGTTTTAGCCTGAAACATTATTGCTAATAGTCCATATCTATAAAATGTATGTTATCAAACATAGCATATACCTGACTTAACTGATATGTGATATAATGGTTTCTGTGTGAGTGGCAATGTGAAATGGAATTTTTCAAGTTGTCTTTTAGTGGCCCGATATCTGACTCCATTTATATCGTATGAATGAATGCTGTCGAAATATACATCCTAACCATTCACGTATACTATTATCGACTTAATCCTCGTTAGTGGATATGACTGGATTAAATAAGTCAAATACGAGAATGGATGCTTGAATATGTCTATTTTGTACACTCATTGATCCGGACAGACAATTAAAGGGACGAATCGAAGCGAGATGGCACGCGACGGAGTAGGCGTGTGAGCCAACTCCATTTAAACAAGCATAATTCAGTATTTATAGTCACACAAAAATGAGCTAAAGACATGTGATGAAGAGGATAGGTGTACGCACACGTACGTTCATATAAAATCAGTCAAGGTTGATAAGTGAATAATCAACAAAACGTGACTCAAGAAAAATGAAAAAACTGATCTATCCGAAAGCTAGAATAAGCTGTGTGGACTTAACGTACTAACTGACGTTACAGTCATTTAACTATACATTAATTAGTAATAATATAACTTAGTAAATTACTTTTAGGCGTTTAAATTTGTGTTCATACGTTAAGTCGGTGATTAAAAGGTGTCAAGTAGCATTTAATGTAATTTCCATAAACCTGACTGTTGAGCAGTGTGAATACATCGCATACAAACGAGTGTATTCAGATATCGTTTTGATTAACTATCGGTATCAAATAAATCACTATGCATCTTATACATGTTCTTACACACTTCATGCGCACCTTAATTTGTTACTTCAGATGCCGAAACGCTCACTATTTTGTTAATTTATAGGGTTATTGTAGCTTGTTTCTTGCCAAAAGTATCATGAATTTGAGTAATCACTGAGTTGTTCATTTCTGGTACAGAATTTTTCGGTAGCTTTTACTCTTAGTTACCGAGGTGGCGTCTTTGATTTTTAACATAGTCTAAGTAGACATAGTCATTAATAATAAAAATATGTACCCAAGTAACATCACAACATTTTGGTTGCTACAAGATTTTAATTGATTGTTCATATGCTCCGATCACTTACATCTTGAAAATCGTCAGATAAATTCTAAGGAATACTTTGTTATTATAGTATCCATCATTAGCAAAGGATTAATAATTTCTAATTTGATTGCTTGTATATTATTTGACATGTAACACATTGTTGTACCAATTTCGTTAAGTAGTTTCCATAATAAATTATCTCTATACATTATTAATGCTGTTAATCGCACACCAAGAAATTAAGATTGTAGTTACATAGGTTTAAGTTTATTCGGTTAAAGCTTGCAGGTTATTTCAGTAATCGTATTATACACTGTCTCAGGGCAGAGTTCGATAGAGAATTTTGATGGGCGGCCTATGCTCCTCTAGGAGGGGTAACAGGCGTAAGTAAGTAGTAATTTTATTCATCAGTTGACTTATTATAACTCAGTTAACCACATCACCTTTTCACAAACAAACGTTACTAATCTAGTCTGGTTTCTTTATCACCATTTAAAATTACAATGTATTATTGTTTTAAACATCTTTTCTATAGATAACACTTGTGATATGCGTTGTTCTGGTATTGAGAGAAATATGGATATACCTTTAATAATACACAATTGTCATCGAAGCTTCATAGAAAACACAGCATCGGCGGTCATTCTTAAACGTTGAAGATGTTTTTAGTTATATATATATATATATATATAGATAGATAGATATATATTAGAAATGGTTTCTTTAATATTCATTTTTAAATGATAAAATGAACCAACCCTTTCATTAACTTTACTTCTATGTTGTTTAATAAATTTATATTTCGTTAATGATAGATTTAAATATTGTAGAAATGGGTATGTTGGTAACTAACTCACTTTCTGTTTCAAAGGTTTCTTTTAAAAAAATTAGAGATCAATATCCAAAGGTAATATAGCATAGTGATAAATTATTCATGATAGCTTTATGAATGACAACTATATGTAATGTGTATCTAACGTAGATTTAAGATTTAAAATTACTATTCTGTAAAACAAAACAAAAAGCTGTACAGTTTACAAATCTATAGATTGATGTTTTCAAAATAACCACTATATATCATATATAAAAAAATATTGTTTTGTTATTACGTAACTTGATAGACTTACTTACTTACGCTTGTTACTCCCAATGGAGCATAGGTCGCCGACCAGCATTCTCCGACCCACTCTGTCCTGGGACTTCTCTTCTAGTTCCATCCAATTCTTGTTCATTTTTCTCATGTCTATCTCCATTTCTCGGCGTAATGTGTTCTTTGATCTTTCTCTCCTCCTTTGGCCTTGAGGATTCCATGTGAGGGCTTGTCTTGCGACGCAGTTGGATGCTTTCCTCAATGTGTGTCCTATCCACATCCAACGCTTCTTCCTCCACTGGGATCTGGTTTGTTCTCTCCCACAGTACGTTGTTGCTAATAATGTCCGGCTAACGGATCTGAAGTATTTTGCGTAGACAATTGTTAATAAACACCTGTATTTTCTGGATGATGGTTTTCGTAGTTCTCCAGGTTTCTGCCCCATACAGTAGAACTGTCTTGACATGTGTATTGAAAATCCTGACCTTGGTGTTGGTTGACAGTTGCTTTGAGTTCCAGATGTTCTTCAGTTGTAAATATGCTGCTCTTGCTTTGCCGATCCGAACTTGATAGACAGTAATCTGTAAGAATGTTTCATCTTACAAGCGAACAGGCTAGAGTTAAAAACACAAAATATGACTATCAATATGAGTTCATTGTATGCGACTAACAAATTGCTTTGGAACTTATCAAGCTACATTATAAAACTATACTTGATGTATATTTTAAGAAAGGAATTTCACATTTGAATCATAATAATACTTGACTTAGCAATAACTAAAAATTCAATCTTCATAAATGTAAATTTTATCCCAAATTAGCACAAAATCGGCTGCTGTGATTCAGTTCTTCTGTTATCAGTATAGTGTTGTGGAGATTATTAAGCTATTGATTGAAATCATGAATGGATCAATATCTCCAAATGCCCTCGTACGGTCGAGAGTGGAGAGAGTCCGCTCACCCTCTCGAAATGCTCTCACATGGCGACGCGTATGTAGCCTCTGCCAGGGAAGTCCTACTCACTGTATTCTCGCACCCCGTGGGTGTTGTTTACGAAATTGAGAGGACGGAAAGCGAATTTCCGGCACCTTACCCGGCTTGTTGGACATGGAGAGTCCACCTAGGGAAGTTGGAAAACGCTCATTCCAAACCAATGATGCACATGGACTCCAGGATCCTGAAGGAACAAATGGCGTATGAACCAATCGTTGGTCACCGGCTACCATGGGACTGCATCTCCTTACGATGCTCGACTGCCTTCAGATCGAAGGCTCTGGGTGTGGCCTCCTAAGGAAACCACCCGTGCAGTGTCGCAGCTCTCACACATATCAAATGAGATTTGTGTGGCACATATGTATCTGATGCCTCCTTGTATCAATATCTATGTGTTAAAACAAATAATAAAAGAAACATACCACCATTGAAAACCTGAAATCACTGGATGGTCGTTTCGTCTTAGTATGGAACTCCTCAATATTGCGTAACCATGATCCCTCACACGAGATTCGAACCCAGGACATTCAGTTCCGTGTGTGAACGCTTAACCTTAAGATCACAGAGCCGGTCATCAACCAATCCACGAAATTGCAACACCATCTTCTATTGTCTGAGGCAGATACCAGTTTCTAACCGACACAGATTAACTCCACTGATCACGGGTGATAACTAGAACTTCGAGGATTCCCTTACGAAGCCTGTTACTAGTGAGCACATAGTAATTATCAGTGTAGGGTTGTGTAGATTGTTAAATATTTGATTGAGATCATGAATCCATCGATGCCAGACCACTGTTGAAAACCTGAAAGTACTGCTGATGAGTTACATTCTAGGACAAAATGGCTGTCCAGTGCTTCCAGGTTTTCCAAATGTCATTTTGAGTACGTTTTGCAGATGTCATTGCTATCAAGAGCTTTCGACCTAACATTTATTTACAGAAAGAAAGTGTGGTTAAACCTCTTGTTACCACGTTAACATAGATATATCAATTTAACAATTGTCAGTTACATTATCTCTTCATTTCTTTCTGTAAATTATAGTAAAAAATCTTACTGATATTCAATAACTACGTTAGTTTTATGTTAAATAGGCGCTTTGGTTATTGCCCATTTATTAACAATCTGTTTTTATCGCTCATAACTTCACTACCTCAACGTTTTATTGATTTCATCTTAAAAATATAAATACTGGTCAATCTTGAATACGATGTCAAATATGTTGTTTCATTTTCTTTCGTAATTTATCTCGAGCCTAACTTCATTGACCATGGTAGGTAACGAAATTTCTGTGTAATAATATTATGGTGTGTGGTAATTATGTCGACAGATATAAGTAGTATGTAACACCAATCGGAAATGAAATGGCTGTGAGAAGGTTGAGAAAATCGAATAGAGGAGAACGAGAATAGAAAGTAACTAGTACAGAAATGAAAAAACAACAAACCGTAAGACAATTTTTTGATCGAGATCATGAACCGATTGATGTTAGACCACCATTGAAAACCTGGAAGCACTGAACGGCCGTTTCGTCCTATTAAGGGACTCCTCAGCAATGCGCATCCACGATCCAGCTCGTGGAATTAGAACCCAAGAGCTTCAGTCTCGCGCGCGAACGCCTAACCTACTGGACCACTGAGCCGGCAAGACAATTGTTGGATATTTTGTAAATAAAGTATTAAAAGTACGATATTAACATTATATCAAATAACTCTACATTGTAGCGTTCTAACACACACCATCATTCATTACTATTTGTCATTACCTATTTCACAATCGATGAAAATGAACTCTACCAGTTCATTATAGTTATTTAGACCAAAACAAAATTGTTATAACTTGTCAAATAACTGTTCAAATGTTGTCAAACGTTTATAATCTCTTGTTTATTTAAGAAAAGCTTCATAAATTTAGTTATCATAACAGGTATTTAACATTGTAACAAGGAAATCATAGGATTATTTGAATTTTCCTCCTTTGGCTTATAATGTTCATATCTTGTTTTAAGTTAAATTCAAACATCTTGAATATTAAAATTAAATGTTATCCTATTTGAAATCAACTCAACATCATATATCATTCCATCGTAAATGTCTACAGTTGAAAATGACGGATGATTGATCTATATATCCACAGTATTTCAACTAAAATTGGACAATTAAGGAGATGAATTCATTTAGGCTTATTCAAGTACAGTTAATCAATTCATTAAGTGTTATCTTTGTGCTAGGTTTGAAGCAGATACGAGTTCACTTAGTCTACGAACGGAACAAAGACTTGTGACCAATGACCAATAAACTAGCTATTCTGTTGTGTCCCAGCCCCGCTAACTAGAGAGAGAAGTCGAATTCTGAACGGGGAAGTATATTCTACAAAAGGCCAGAAGCATGAGCGATTACAACAGACACAAATCAAAATGTATATATACAGCACCAAACCGTCCTTTGGAAGGGTTACAAAATAGCATACTAAAAAACACATTGGACCAATAGCGTTCAAGATTCTCCCAAATGGGAAATACGATATGAAGGCGAAAAGTGCGCTTTTGGCGCGAAAATAATGAAATTCAAATTTTCTAAATAAAATTACAAAATTAGGTCTTTTTCTAAGTGAGTCCTCTATCTGATAAATGTAGTTATAGATATTAGGATGTCTAGCAATATTTATTAACTATAAGTATTCCAAATGTACGTAGAAAAACATGTCGTTTTGTGATCTGTATGGATGATTGAAGTATTCATAATCAATTTATTAACGATTATTCATACAAAATAAGATCCTGGTAAATCAGTTTTTACACTTTGAGGAAATTGTTTCATTAACATATTGATGTTCCATAGATGAACCAATCTAAATTAGACAATTATTAAAACCTGTAAGCTTTGGGTGACTGTTTCATTCTAGTTTGGGACTGCTCATAGAGAACAGATAAAATAGTGGTATTATCAACTTTGATGAAGTCTTTCAATGTGTAACATAGAGTTTTAAGATTGATTAATGGGCTGTTTTTATTGAGTAACCCTAGGCTATTTTAAAACCCAAATGATTAACCGTATGAATTTAGTGAAGTTTCAATTATTTTTCGACAGTCGATGAGAATATACTCATGGTTTTGATTAGCTTCATTATAGTATACATCATATACGCTTCGTAATTATGAAAGTTTTGTGTAGTCTACAAGCTGTGTATGACACATAACTAATGAGTATTTAAGACTGCCCGGCGATCGGGATTGTTATTAATATTGATCAACGGCTAGAATATGACAAAGGAATGGATAAAGAGCAGATTCTTGACCAAGAGAGAGGAAATAGAAGGTGAATTTCGGTTGAAAATAATTTCATGTTTTATATCGGTTAATTGCTGTAATAATAAATGTTATTTTACATTTAAAGTGTTCAAAAATTCACTTGATATTGTTTACTTGGATCTTCCCATTGTTATTTAGAACTGCGATTGATCAGTCTCATGTTGGCATATGTGCATACTGTGCCGATTGCCTCGATATAGCCTTAATTCACAAACTTTTCAAGCAAAGATGGATAGTGGCTAGCAGTGAAATCCAGTTTGACACACTTTGATGTTCACTTTACGACTCGAACTCAGTACCGTTTGCTTCAAACGCCATCGCGTTATCTTGAACATCCTAAACATCAATGGGAAGATTCAAGTACACGATACTAAATGAATTTAAACTTCACCCCATTGCACAAGCAGATGGCTATCTGAACTCAGTAGCTAAGTGGATAACGCGATGGCGCTTGAAGCGAACAGTAATGGGTTCGAGTCCTGGAGTGAACATCAATTCTGGGATGCATGTTCATCCAGCTGACGAGTCCTAAATAGGACGAAATATGCGTCCCACGTTCCACTGCTAGCCACTATCCATCTTTGCTTATAGTGTTCGAAAATGTTACGGTAATCTTTCTAAACATTTTCATATCATCATTCTTTTTGAAAACAATGAGTTATCATATATGTGACCTATAAATACAGATGAATTTGATAACAGAAATCAATTGCCATAGGTTTCTATACAAGATACTCATCAGTCATTTCCATCTAAATACATTTACCTAAGTATCAATTTACATGAATTTCAGCTTAGATTATTGTTTAAACACATGATAGAATGATTTTGATTAGTATGGATTGGTAAACAATGAATTAATCATATTTATTACTATATCAAACAAATACAATGTGTAACATCTCACATAAAACAAGCCTATTCAATATCATCAACATACTGAAACGATTCATATTTCTTACATTATAAGTGATAGAATCAAAATGTTGATCAAAAATAATATTACCTGATCATTATACATGTGATCATTGCCAACATTTTGTTTTGTTTATAAACCAAAACAAACAAGAAGAAAAACATATCGATTTATAATTATCGATATTATTGATTGTTCTCTCATATTTGATCAATTGCAGTTCTAAATAACAATGGGAAGATACAAGTAAAAGAACACCGAGTGAATTTGTGTACCTTTTGTTTATTTTTAAAGAAAGAAACAACAACAACTAATTAAATGTAGACTTAAGTGTTGGCTATTGTTGATCCAAAGACTTCTTATCATTCTGCGATCACTGTGTTTGAATGACTTGTCATTATATTTCCAATCACTAATCACAATTTGATCAACATCATCGATTTTTGGCAAAAAAATTGAATTTTCATTATACATAGTTAGCTAAAAATGAGTATTTATAAATCTAAAATCTCATTATTTATTTATTAAAAACACGTAAACATTGGTACAAGGAGATACTAAATGGATATGCGGTAATGTGATCGGTCAATTTGTGTGAAGGTTGAAATACTGATTGGATGCACAAACTAAAGCAGTTGGTTTTATTAGAGGAACACTACCCAAGACTTTGACCTAAAGGTCTAATCCACTAGGTAGGTAAAGCAATGTTACTAGAGCCAATCCCATGGTAGTCGGAGACCAACAATAGGTTCATACATCATTTGTTACATCAGGATCCTGGAGCTCATATGCACGATTGGTTTAAAATCAGGGAAGATCAAAGAATACATCACGCCGAGTGTGTCTAGCAGTGTAATACATATATGCCAATAAGAGACTGATCAACTACAGCTCTAAACATCAATAAGAAGGCTCAAACAGTCATTAAAAAAACGAATTAAAACTTCATTGATGAATTTTTTTATTCATTATATGGTCTTAAAATGTAAGACTCGTTATTGGTACCAGGCGATGAATTAATCACTGACAAAGTGATATGTGGTTATGGATAATCTAAATGAAAAGTCTCTTATATTTAAAAATGCTTTTACTGATGAATGCTGTATATTGTCTCGTACATAAAAGATACATCTTAATCAGGATTTCTGCTTTTTTATGTTAATATGTTTGACATTTTTTGGTATACGAAGATACTAGAACCCAAGTGAATATAGTTGTACTACACAACACTCAATGTACTACTTGTTTCAAATATGAAAATATTGATTATTATCTTACCGAGTTAATACTGTTCCACTTTATTCATCAATTCTCAAAACTAAAACAATTAACTTTCTTTTAAATACTGATCATATAAATATCTGCATTGACTTTGCCCATATTGGTCGAATATTCATCGAAACGCTAATCATATATCCGGTCCTTTTTCTTATTTTAAATCCTATTCTGACGAAAAATCATCATTCGTAACATGCATTCAGAGGTCACTGATCTCAATCAAAAACTTAATAATCTCCACAATCCCTATACTAGTAACCAATATGTGCTCACTAGTGACTAGCTTCGTGAGGGAATTCTCGGAGTTCTAGTGAGAAGCCGTGACCAGTAGAGCTAATCCATGTCGGGTAGAGACAGGTATCTACCTCAGTACAATGGAAGTTGGTCGCGCAATTTCGTGGATTGGTTGATGTTAGACACTATCACCACTGGATGCCGCCTCAGTGGTCCAGTAGGTTAGGCGTTCGCGCGTGAGACTGAAGGCCCTGGGTTGAAATCTCGCGAGAGGGATCGTGGATGCGCACTCCTGAGGAGTCCCACAATAGGATGAAACGGCCGTCCAGTGCTTCCAGGTTTTCAATTGTGGTGGTTCATGATCTCAATCAAAAACTTAATAATCTCCACAACCCCTATACTAGTAAATATAAATACTTGATGCATACAAATATACCTGATTGTCTTAACTAATAGAAAGTTCTTGAATTATATCTTAACTTTGAGTTACTTGAACATTTTGAGTTTCACTATAATCATTTATGTTTTATTGAACAATGGAATCTGGTGTCTTGAATTTGCAATTATTATCAGACACTCAATAGATAGGTCACACTATAGTGAATTTTCCATGAATTATCTCTTTCTTTATTATATATCACTCAGATTTACAATGAATGCGTATTTTATTATGAAGTATACGTACAAATGGAAGATAATAGTTGATTATCAGTTCAAGGAGAAACCACTACTTTTCTCCATTATTAACATCGACCTATTGAGTCTATAATGTGCAAATCGAATCCCTTATGTCAATTCATATATATTACTAATTAAATGCTAGTATACTGAACGATAACTGTGGTGAAGAAAAACTAATTTACTGACTAATGCAAGATTACAGAGTGCCTTTGTAAAAAATGAGAACTACATATTAAATACATCATTTGAATATCTTTCATCAGTTATCCCTTAAACACCTCATGATTATTTCAATTCTGTTTTTATTACAATTACTCTCTGTTTTCGTCAATTCAATCTTCTGGATCTTCTGCTGCCAAGTATTCCACTTTCATTAGTTGATACATACTACTTATATCTGTCAGCATAAGTATGCACCACACACCACGTGCAATCAACGAATTTGTAGATGAATATTACGTAGTGTTTCGTGATATGTATATTCTTTTGGTCAGTCGTTTAACTAGTGCATTTATAGACATTTGTAATTTGGCCTATCGATCAATATTGTCTATTATCTTTACAAGTTAAAACAATTAGTCCCTTCGATAAATTTCGATAATGCAATGAGAAGACGAAGATTATCATAATTATGTGATATATTTGCGCAATACATTTCGAACAATCTGATCACATACATATACTTGTTGAGACATTTTTATGTGAAAATTTCAAGGTCAACTAGACAGGTTAACGGTAAGCCGTGACAAAGAAAAAAGTACACAAAAACAATGTAATAACCACTCTGGATAATAAATCAGTGTTACCAGGGTAATTTAAGTGTAAGGACAAATTATTTTAGAACGCATACAGAGGGTTTCAATTTCCGTATAGCCAAGGCTTCAATAAATCTGAATATACGTCGTGAAAGGCTTTTGTATAACACTACAAATGCTGATTTGATATCAACCTTATGACCCGTCTCAATTAAGTGTTTCGTAATGGAGGATGATGTCTGTTTATCCTGTGATCGTATTCGACCATCGGAATCCATTTGTTTCTATAACCATTTTTGCATGTGTTTACCCACCCCTAATTGCAAATCACGATTGCTCCTCCCTATGTACGTGTTTCCGCACATTCGTGCAAATTGGTAGACACAGTGGGATGTGATACAATCGCTTACGAGCTGTTTGGGCCTTTGGTGAAACATAGACCTTGTCTTTTCAATGATAACAAGCTGGGCTGCATAGAATGTTTGGTTGCTAGTCAGTTTATGTCTCCGTTTCAGCATGAGTCTATTTGTGTCGCCTCTAAATGGTAACATAATGTAAACTCGCTTTATGGGTGCCAGAAGCGTCATAGGTCTAGTCGTATAGCAACCCTTCCAGCGGTTTATGAACTTCAATGAATAACCATTATTTCTTAACGTATCAGTCATGAGCTTCGTCTCTACTTCAGTAGTACCATTAGTACATATACGATTGATTCTATTGAATAAGCCCTTTATTAATCCACGTTTGGGCAGTGACTATCGAAATTAGGATATTGCCCTGTCCATGTTGGCTTTCCATATATAGAACGTTGGATGAAACCATCATCTTTCCTACTAATCAGGATGTCTAGAAATGAAGTTGATTGTTCTTCTTTTGACTTTTGACTTGTATTGAGTTCTTTTAACAAGCGGTTAACATCTTCACCTTTATCATTTATGATTATGATATCATCAACGTACCGTTTATACAGATATATCTTTCGAGTTGATTCTTCAGCTAGATTTTCAACATATCCCATGGACACATCAGCCAGCAACAGTCCTAAAAGTCTACCCATAGCTATATCATTGACTTGTTGGAAATGCTAGGTCTTTATACGTTCTAAAACAATTTTTCTTTAGACTCAAACTACCATGGCAATACTAACTTATTATACAGAGTGGTAATCAAAATTGTTTTTGTGTACTTTAATGTTATTTTTTTCTTTACAACTTAGCTGGGTTGTCGAAATCTTCTAAAAAGAATGCACAAGGATATATTAAAATATCAAAGGGGGTTTTTTGGTGGTCTTAGAAATTTCAATAGTTGAAATCATGACTCAATTGAAGCTAGACCACCATGGAAAACCTGGAAGCGCTGAACGGCAGTTTCATCCCAGTATGGGACTGCTCAGCAGTGCACATCGAGTAGTCTCATGGTTAGACGCTCGCGCGCGAGACTGATAGGTCATGTGTTCGAATCTCTTGGGGGGCGGGATCGTGTATGCGCACTGCTGAGGAGCCTTATACTAGGACGAAACGGTCGTCCAGTGCTTCCAGGTTTTCCATGATGGTCAAGCTTCAATTGAATCATGATTTCAACTAGTGAAATATATTAAATTATCCTGAGCATACTTTAAGTATTCTATACTCTACTTACTTTAAATGTGTAATGTTTAAAACAAAGTAATCAAAGCACATGAACTCAAATAATTTATTATGAAAAAAGAAACAATTCAATTAGTTGAATCATTTTACTATAGATTGTTCTAATTGATGTTGAATTTATTACTTCTCATTAGAATGTAATCATTGATGGATTAAAAGTATTAAATGGTATGTTAACCTTTTATAAGTTAATAGGATTGAAATCTTTAATTGCTTTCACTCCAATACATAACATGATTACCTATGTAATGAATGTAATTAGAAAAATACATTAGTCAACTTCTTTAATATTTTCTTTTTATTAAAAACTGATTAATATCAGATGGGTTTTGTGGATATTATAGTAATCTCACTGGTTAAGATCATGAGTCAGTTGAAGCTAGACCAGCATGGAAAACCTGGAAGCACTGGATGGCCGTTTCGTCCTACTATGGGACTAATCAGCAGTGCACATCGAGTGGTCTAATGGTTGTGCACTCGCGCGCAATACTGATAAATCCTGGGTTTGGATCTGGAGAGGGCAGGATCGTGGATGCGCACTGTTGAGGAGTCCCATACTACATCCGTCTACTGCTTCCAGGTTTTCCATGACGGTTTAGTTTCAACTGACTCATGATCTTAACCATTGTAACAAGTGATTGCAAAGTTATCTGTGTAAATAAATGAAATAATTGTTTAACTGATTAGTTATAGAGATTATTGTACAAACTACTAATAATTACGGTAGGACTCTAATTTATGGACGAGCCAATCAGAAGCGTTTAAGGAATTTCAAGGTCATGGCGCTAAGTTCAGTGCGGGATGCTCACATTCGATCGTTTTACAGCAGATTTTAGAGAATAGGTGATCGTTGAGAGACTACAGCAGATGGGAATATTAGGAAGTTCCTGTGTCTGTGACTGCGGCAATTAAATGACCGCAGCACGATGTGCAGACTGCCGCGATGACATTGTATTTCGTTGTACTATATGTTGTAGAAAAAAATCTGCTCGAACTGGCACTTTTTTTACCCGGTCACGGCTAAAACTAAGACAAACCATGATAATCGTTGCAAATTGGATCATAAAGTCTCCAGTAACATTAGCTGCGGCTATACCGATGTTAGGAAAGCGTATAGATGCCTCTCCAGACTTGGTTTTGTGCATCATGTAGTGGTGTATAAACGTCATTTCTTTGATCTAACGACGGGAGGTCCATACAAACAACATTGAGGGCATGTGGTCTAGGCTGAAGTATTCTTTAAAACCCTACCACGGCTTCAGAGGACGATTATTATAGTCATATGGACGAGTTCTTATACCGCATGCACTATGATTTCGAGACTTCTGAACCTATATCAAACCTCAACAAGTTCTCAAATAATGTAAAAGAAGAATATCCATTGTAATACATCACTCTTTTATAATATATTTTTACTTTATACTAACTCTCTTCTGATTGGCTAATGTACTCAAGGTCACTTAAAAATTCGTTCAAAGGTCGTCCATAAATTAGAGTTTCACCATAATTACTGAGGTACATTTTGATCTTTCCTAGAGACAGTTTAATTTGTAGAAGTTAATCTTGTAAGACATAACACAGGCTTTATTGACAATTCTGATTTATAGTTGTATTGTGCTATGAATTGATTGTGTAAAATTTAAGAAGAATGAATTTCAACATTTTGACAAACAATAATTCGCTTTCCATGGCTCTGTACATCTTAAGTCTTTTCCTAGGTAATGTTGTGGGCATATGATATTGTGAAGTTTGAATTCAAAATGAATCAGCTGTCCAATCATTATCAGTATAGGGTTTTGGAGTTTGTTTAGTTTTAATTGGGATCATGAACTGAACAATATTAGACCACCAATGAAAATATACGAGTGACAGACGACCGTTTTTTCCTAATGTTGGACTCTTCAGCAGTGTGCATCTACGATCCTTCACATGGGACTCAAATGCAAGACCTTCGGTCTCTTGGGAATGCTTAAGTTTCAGACTACTAATCCGACATCTAACGGTATTTATATCTAACTTCAACCAATCTACGGTACTGTGTGACCATCTTCCATTATCTTCAGTGGTTAAATGCCTCACACTGTCCAATCATCACTAGTTAATAGCATTTTAATCAGGTGAAATAATTTCGCCATAAAATCTTTCAAAATATAGCAATTGATAATTCTAATATTCATTTGTAAAAACGCGAATCATCAAAGTAAGTTACCGAAGTATGTCTCTGTTATAACTGGAAAACTGACTTCATCGGCACCGTTGTAACTGGGTAGGCAACTTTTATATGTGAGAAGTCATCGTTGTCATGTGCGTATCAACTCTGTTGAGTCCGCCGTACCACTGGCTCTACTTTATAATCAGAAACCATTGCAAAATGCTTTATACCACTTCTTATACTGTGAAACGCGAATCATTACAATTCTCACGATGCCAAGGGGAGAACACAAAATAGTGATACAACGAAAATTTATTGACTTCAAAGCATGATAATAAGTGGGTACCAAATCACATATCGTATACTGAATGATGACCTTGGTATTAATATGTCTTGTCTTTTCCTTCCCTCTAGGACTGATCATTTGAGAGGACATTCTAAGAAAGTTCAAAAACCGAGGTCAAATCATCTACATGTGGAGTTTCGTATCTCGCACCGAGTAGTGAATTACTGGAATTCTCTACCGGAACGCGTAATATCAGCACCTTCTGTTGATATATTCCAAACGAGATTGGACCTTCACAGTGTTACAAACTGCAAGGATTAATATAGATTGATAATTCTCCTATCCTTATTACTGAAGACTTATTTAAGACTGAAATGACTTTAAAACACGATGACAAATAAATCTCAAATATAGTTGATCTAAGTTAATACACAGAATAAAATTGTCATACTGAACGTGAGTTCACACTCTTCATACAGAACAAAGTTCATAATGAATTGACACAATAAAACATTGACCTATATAATGTCATCTTTTTATCCCTTTATATCATCCTCAAAATGCATAAATTACTTTTAAAGTAATGAATAACAATGGAAACTAAATAAACTTACATTCATCAGTAAAACTGAAATACTTCCAAGTACTATTGTATTTAAATATAATGTTATTTCTTCTGCAAATGGTTTATCACAACCAATTTCAATATTACTATTGTATTTTGTATATTCAAATGGACATGTAATGTTGATTATTTCTAACTGATCATTCATTTTACAACATGGTATAGGTTGATTTATACCTTAGAAACAAAATAGGAAGAAAATACTAGGTAATAACATATCTTGTATTTTTATCAGATGGGGATTGTGTGTAGATCTTAGAAATTTCAATAGTTGAAATCATGATTCAATTGAAGCTAGACCATCATGGAAAACCTAGAAGCACTGGACGGCCGTTTCGTCCTAGTATGGGACTCCTCAACAATGCGCATCCACGATCTCGCCCCCCACGGGATTCGAACACATGACCTATCAGTCTCGCGCACGAGCGCTTAACCATTAGACCACTGAGCCTGCATTCAACGGTGGTAATGTCTAACTTCAACCAATCCAGGTTTTCCATGGTGGTCTAGCTTCAATTGACTAATCATTTCAACTATTGAAATATCTTGTATTAGTTCAATGAAAAATTATAAGAATATTATTATTATCTAAAATATAAATACTGTCTGATCTGCTATATTGACAAAATCAATAATGTAATCACCTGAATCTTCATCGTCATGAATGGTAACTAACTATTGTATATTACAAAACGTCTCTATTCGTTTTAATTGACGTATATAATTCAGGACTCAAATCTAGTTGAAAAAATATCAACATCTTATATTAATATGAAAACACGAATTATCTGTCAATTAAAATTTTATAGACCAGAACATTTCTAGACGTTTCTCACTTGAATCATTCAAAAATCGATAAAACACATTTAAATAGACCCAATTATTAACTGATAGTCAGTGAGCAACAACGTAGAACTTCATACATATGTACATCAGTTCAAGTTGCCATATCATATTAGCACAGAGACACAATTATCGATTCAAATCCCATAGTGGTATAGGTAGTAAAAGCATAAGCAGTAATCGGAAAGATTAGGGTTTGAAGATATTATTCAAGGAGTTTAATCCAGAAAAATAAATTTGGAAAGATAAAACAAGGGACATGAAGAATTCAGAAGATTAGAATTTGAGAGAACACAATGAGTGACTGATAAGTATAATGATTACCAATTCTGAGATTGTGTTACAAGTCAAATGAAAAGATTTATCGAATAAATGTGCAGAAAATCATTGGACAATTTACATTCACTTGGTGTAATTTTACTTGTATCATCTTATTGTTATCTAGGACTGCAGTTGATCAGTCTCATGTTGGCATATGTGCATACTGTGCCAATTGCCTCGATATAGCCTTAATTCACAAACTTTTTAAGCAAAGATGGATAGTGGCTAGCAGTGGAATCCAGTTTGACGCACGTTTTGTCCTATTTGAGACTCGACAGCTGGATGTACATGTATCCCAGAGTTGATGTTCACTTTGGGACTCGAACCTATTACTGTTCGCTTCAAACGCTATCACGTTATCCACTTAGCTACTGAGTCCAGATAGCCATCTGCTTGTGCAATGAAGTGAAGTTTAAATTCATTTAGTATAGTTTACTTGTATCTTCTCATTGTTATTTAGGGCTGCAAATGATCAGTCTCATGATTATCGAGTCCCGGAGTGAACATCAACTCTAGGATGCGGGTATATCCATCTGACGAGTTCGGACATGGACGAAACGTGCGTCAAACTGGATTCCACTGCTAGCCTCTATCCATCTTTGCTTAAAAAGTTGGAATTTACAGTTTAAGTTTAATGTCACGAAAAGCTGAAGTTTGTACCTATAATGTTGTTCTAGATAGATGATCACATTTGCAAGATTAAATCACTGAGCCAAAAAACCCAACTCTTCCAGTAATGTTTATTTAATGTTTTATACGAGTCTAGTTAGAATAAACGAAATACAGGTTTACCATATTACCGTTTGTCAAAAATAATTTTATTGTAGAATACTTTGTTGTTTGTATATTACCACCCTTGAATTAACTACTTCTACGAATTCGATGTTCATCTTGTTGTGCTTATAAGGTATGGCGACTTGGGCCAATGCATATATATACCTGATCCTACGTTCTAACTGACTGACTGGGAAGACGTTGCGACACATAACCTTCTCATATATATGGGATAAAATAACATGTAAGTTAGCTGATGATGACCGATTTGATTTGGTTAAGGAAAAAAGTAAAATTCCGCAGCACAAATTTAATAACTCACCATAAATTCTGAGTTATCGGACTTTAATGTCAACTAAGTCTGTATGATTTTTTTAAGGGGGGGAGCTTGTTGTGAGTAATGTGCTCAAAGTTGGAAAAGCGTCATAATCATATTTTCATCTTCGATGAAAATTCCATGTTATTTTCCTCTTAATAGTACTTTACTGTAAAAATTAGACGTGGAGCTTTCGTCGTTCGTCTGAACGACTTTTATCTGACGTTTGTGCTGATGATGTCGTGTAGAAGAACGATGTAAGCTTCACGACTAAACCATCCAGCTCAGAAAACAAAACCCCATCAAAATCATTCACCTAAGCTACAAATCTTCGCCACTATAATATTTTTCAAACGTTTATTTAAAGTCAGATAACCTCATGAGAGAATATCACATATCAAAATACAATATTTTAAAATATCTGAAAGTTAAGTTTACGGTACTTAAGTATGACAGTTAGAAGCATTATAACATTGCGGCTAATATACTTTCTTTTAATGGTCAGTTTCCATCAAACTTTAATGCACTTTACTTTTGACAAAATCACAGTAGAATAATAACCAGTCAGCTATAACGTAGGATCAGGCATATATATGTATCGGTCCAAGTTGTCACAGCTCATTAGTAAAACAAGATGATCACCAAATTCATAGAAGTAGTCACTTCAATTGGAGACTTTTCATTTAGTGCTTCCTGAACATTAATTAAAGCATTCTATCTTCTTTGTATTTTACTTGATCATCAATAGGCAGACTAACTACTAGGAATGATTAGAATTAAACAATACTTTTTGGTGAGCATGTCAACTTGTTATCTATGAAAATCTCTTACTGACTAGTTTTTAATGACTTCAATATTGAATATGGTTTGTAAATACGTTTTGTCAAGATTATACTTGTAAACATATTACAATCCTTATACATGTAGAACTTATTGTAACATCTCCAGATACAAATAAAATCACAGTTGTACTAAGTAATATTATAGTGAATGAGAATGCTCGGATGTAGAACCAATATACTGATCAACGCAAACTTACAGACTGTCTCGGTAAAATATGAAACCCATACATTAAATACATTATTTGCATATCTTCCATCAGCTGTATCTTACAAACTTATTACAATAATCCTCTGTGAACATTCTTGATTATCATTTAAAATGATTCGAAATCATAGATTAGTGATTATGCCTTTGAATGTAATGCTCAGTAAAACAATTTTGAACATAATTAGACTCATAATTTCTCTCAAGATCATATATACATCTTGTTAGCTACCGTCAGCTTAAATATATTCTAAGTGCAAAACTGCCTACTAGTTACTTTTAAACACCTAACATCAGACAGAGTGAACTAAGATATCTATTTATCTAATCTGGTAGCTACATGGAAAGTATGTTGATGAACTTAAAGGGTAGTCAATATTGACATTGAGTAACTATACAGTGATCATTTGATTTGAAGTATAAAATACATTTCATTTGTTCTCACCATGATAAATTATGTTATTGTAAGTATCAACTGCATCAAAGTTTGCATATCTCCAATCAAACTGTCGATATGTAGCTCCACAACAATTTAACTGAAACATTAAACAATGTAAAAAATATTTGTAATCCTATTTAACCTCAGTATAAATTTTCATTATAAACAATCTTAAATATTTACAAAAACAAGCTATTTTTCAAGAATAAGTGAATTGTTCCTGGCAGTACAATCTGGGATACAAGTTTCATTCTACTTAAGACTTGTCAGTCGAAAGTACCTATGTTCAGTGTTAATACGTTAACTCAATATCTCTCTCTAAATGCTTAATGTATAATCCGCTGAACTACTGACTCCAGATAACCACTAACTTGTTTAACCGGCATACCAACAAATACTGAATAAACTTCAGTCACGAATAACAACAATGTGATTATCTAAACCCTGCCTAATAATGATATAAAGTTAGTTTCGTGATTTAGTTATGCCTAGCTTATTTGATGAATTTATAATTCTTAAATGGACTCATTTTTTTGTCATGAATTTTTTAACTATAGTTTTGAGCTATCTTGGTAGATACAAACTGCCTGGTTGTAGTCTGCACCATAACCGTGGTCTGTGGTGTTGAAGATCTTAGGTAGCATAATTTAGCATTTTCCACAACACCTCGTATATATATTCACTCTTTTTACCAGATCTTGAATCTCGGTGTTATCTTTTCAGATAAATCATCAGGCAATAGTGAGAATGAATTTTTTTCATTGAGCGAGAATTAGTATTCAAATTACTAAATATATTTGTGACGAATTTATCACAATGATACCATAACGCTTTATTGAAAATGTCGGGCAATCAAGGTGGTTACTTCATTACGGTAAATTACTCCTGCTTCGTTGGGTGACCTGCCTAACCAGGTGGCCGGAAGTACCTCCTTCGCCATCCCATCATCTTACCTGCTTCGGTTTGGGCACCCGGGCAGTATCCCAGCTACCACATAAATCGAGTGATTTATGTGGCGCTTATCTATTTGGTGCCTCCTTCTACCAATGTTTACGTGTTTTTGAATAAATAAATAAATAAATAACAAAGAAAATGTCCAAATTCTAGGCATCATCAATATGAATGTTACTGATATTATCTTGTTCAGCTATGCTTAAGCCAACAGTATTTATGTCGCGAGTAAATGAACTAATATCTTAACGCTTATTAATCAAAGTCGAAATCTTCTATCCTCAATCAGAATACGAGAAAAGGCAGCTGATGCGCCTATATTGATAACCTGAAAAACCCACATGGTTATAAGTATGAATTTCAGGAATACGACGCATTATAAAAAAATCCAAATGTTGATCGCTAATATAACTTTCATAGTTTGTCACTAATACTTATTCATCTCATCTTAACAGTTATTAAACTTTATTTCTACTTACCATAACCATTACACTGGCAGTAAATAAGCTTGCCGGAGTTCCACTTCTCAGTGATACATATTCTGTCATTAAACCGCTCAGAAAATCTTTCAAATGATCTTCAATCTAAATGTTGTTTTAAAAAAAAGATAATTAATATGGGATATAACAATAACTATATAAAATGATGTAGCTTTATCAATAGTCTGATATTACAGAATTGAAGAATTATATTTGTTACACTTATTTGAGAAACGTAGATATTCTATCAACTATACTATTTTTCTAGTCATGAGCTTATTCGTCCTGATTTATCAAAAGATAGGTTGATAAATACATCATTAACATTCAAGTAAACTGATGATGTATATAGTTCGACAAAATGACAGCTTTCATTTTTATTGTATCTCAGAAAATGTCTGATTATCCTGGACAATAGAACGATTGTCTTGATTTACTAAGTAATATTTATCACATGAACAAGAGCGTAATTGTTCATCTTATTCTGATGGTTTTGGACTCCCCATGAGCGCACTCATCCACAGCCATATAACATATAGCAGTCAGGATTAATTATTTGTTTACCATCACAGAGTGAAAGTGAATGTTAAAAGTAACAGATGGACAATTCTTCTGATGTATATTATAACTTCAAAAATGTTCCACGTTCTATTCAGGAAGATTTGGCAGGAAGAACAAGTGCCAACAAACTGGAAAGAAGGATACCTCATCAAGATACCAAAGAAAGGAGGTTAGAGCGAATGCGAGAGCTACAGAGAAATCACACTACTGTCGATACCAGAGAAAATTTTCAACACAGTGTTGCTAAACCGGATACAGTAGACACTCAACTTCCAGATTGACAGAGCAGATTCCCTAGAGATCAGTCGAACAAAGCCCAAATTGCTACACTACGAATCATTGCTGAACAATCAATCGAATAGAACTCGTCACTAAACATCAACTTCCTTGGTTATGGGAAGACGTTTGAGAGATTGGATAGGAGAACATTATGGAAACTTCTTCGACACTATGGAGTATCTCGGAAAACCGTCAACATCATACGGAATTCATACGACGGTTTACACTAAAAAGTCGTGCATGCAGAACAGCTGTCTTATGAATTTCAGTTGAGGACAGGTGTCAGGCAAGGTTTCATACTATCTCCCTTTCTAATTCGTCTAGTGATCAAGTGAATTATGAAGACCTCCACATCTGAAGGAAAACATGAAATACAATGAACGGTATGAGTGCGACTAGACGATCTTGACTTTACAGATGACCTAGCTCTTCCATCTCACACTCACAAACAAATACAGGTCAAAACAACCAATGTAGAAACAACCTCTGCAGTAGTAGGCCTCAACATACACAATGGAAATAGCAACATTCTCATATACAACATAAAGAACACCAACCCAATCACACTTCATGGAGAAACTCTGGGAGATGTGGAATCTTTCACGTACCTGATCAGCATCATTGATCAACAAGGACGATCTAATGCAGATGTAAAGGCGACGATTGGCAAAGTAAGGGCCGCTTTTCTACAGTTGAAGAACATATGGAACTCAAAACAAATGTCAACCAATACGAAAGTGATAATCTTCAATACGAACGTCAAGACAGTTCTATTGTACTGAGCTGACAGGTCGAGAATTGCTACAACCATCATAAAAAATGTACATGTATTTGTGAACAATTGTGTACACAAGATACTCAACATCCGTTACGTGGATACCATGAGCAATAGCCTACTGTTGGTGAAAATAAACCAGATTCCAACTGAAGAGGAAATTAGGAAAAGACGTTGAAAGTGGATAGTACATACATTTTGGGGATCATAAAACTGCATCACGAGACAAGCCCCAACTTGGAATCCAGAAAGGAAACAGAAAAGTGGATGGCCAAAGAACACACTACGTCGGGAGTTGAAAGCGGACATGAAAAGAATGAATAACAACTGGAAAAAACTGGAAAGAATTATAGAGGACAATGTTCGATGGTGAATCTTTTGGGTAGCCAATGCTCTCTCTAAGAGGGTTAACGGGTATTAGTAAGTAAGTTCAGAAAAGATTGCTCGACGAAACTTTGGAATCATTTAAACTTCAAACTCTGAGATTATTTCAAATATAATTTTCACATATAATATACATTTACTTATTTGCAAAATTACGTTACATTTTCTACACATATCATTCTTAACTTACAGTTTGTTTACTGAAATAGTATCCAACGATTAGCATTAAATGTCCAAGAAGAAGGAATCCTAGCATGATTTGATACTTTAAAATAGGTACAATGAAATGGAAAACAATTACAGAAATAGAAAGAGGTTTTCCAGTTGAATAATATTACTCAAGTTATATAGTAGTATATGTGTAGACTGAAAACTAGGACGAAAATGTATTTTGATAGTTGATACATTTCAACAATCTATGTTCATCTTCACTTCTACTGTTCATTGAAATTTGGCGATATTATTTGCATTCTGTTTTACAAACGGTTATCCTGTGTATTTTGGAAAAAATAGTCCTCAATTTTTTTTTTCGTTTGGCTCAGTTCAATAATTAAGCCAAAACAAGACACAGAACATTGGTCAAAAATTTGATTAAATGAAAAGAGAACAGTTTTTTGTTCAAGTGAACCTAGCTTATCGAGTCAAGGCCTTAATCTAGATCGAGATAATTTTGTCATGTATATTAGTAGGGTGGATGGATCAGGGAAGCAATAGGATAATTTAAGTTAAAAACATTGTTAGGATTTATTGACAATTAAATTATTTCAGTAGTTGATGTCATGAGTCACTTGAAGCTATACCACAATGGAAGACCTAGAAGCACTGGATGGCCGTTTCGTCCTATTGTGGGACTTCTCAGCAGCGCGCATCCACGAACCCGCCCTGCAAGATTCGAACATAGGACCTATCAGTCTCACATGCGAGCACTTAACCTCTATACCTCTATACTACCGCCTCTGTAGAGCACAAAGTATTGATTTGCTGAGTAGTGCTCATCAATGATCCCGCAGATTGCAATCGGACCTAGGACCTTCAGACTATAAATTGTTCTTATCTATTGGTGTTATCTAATTGATTTTCTCTCTGAAAATCATACATTCTGATTTTAAACAACTAGAAATGTATAGTTACAAGATAAATGATTATTTGGTAAACTATAATATTTTCTACAAACAGTAATTCCATATTATGAGGTAGAGTTTGATATTTTAAGTCACTGTTTGCAAATATTCAAGTGACATGGATTTACATGAAAACAACAGATTGGTTTAAACTCACCGACTACTTTTATGGTACTATTTATTTAAGATACTCAAAATATTACAATCATTTACTGAGTCCTGATAGCCACCTGCTTGTGCAATGGGATGAAGTATGAATTCACTTAGTATTGTTTGCTTGTATCTACACATTGTTATTCACGACTATAATTGATCAGTCTTTTGTTAACATATATATATCCAAATAAAGCAAGAACAAATATTGATGCAGCATCTATATTTGTTCTTGCTTTATTTAAATATATATATCCTCAGTGTATGGCCTCGATATTGCTTTAAGTCACAAGCTTTATGGGCAAATATGAATGATGGTTAACAGTGGAATCCAGAACTCGTTTTACGTCTTATTTAAGACTAGTAAGGTGGATGTACTTGCATTTCAGAGCTGATGTTTACCCTGAGACTAAGTGGATAACGTAATGGCGGTATTGAGTTTGAGTCCCGGAATGAACATCAACTCTGGAATGCAGGCACGTCCAGCTGAAGAGCTTCAAATAGGAAGAAACGCATATCCTGGATTCCACTGTTAACCATCATCCATCTTCGCTTATAATACTTGTGGATTAAGGCAATATTAAGACAATACTCACATGATGCACATACGTTAATAATCAATTGGAGACTTAAACATCAATGAGGTGATCCAAGTAAACAATATCAAATATATTTAATTCTAATCATTGTTCTATTTTCTATTTAGAAGTAAATTGTCAGTCAATATAATAATAACACTTACCATCCTTAATAAAGAAGATTTTTGATACCATACAGCAATGAATCCAATAATACAAACTAATAAATTACCTAAACTGAATGCAAATACTGCAATACATAAATTTTCTAAAAAAAAGAGAACAAAACCATAGTAAATAAACAATGGCAAACAAAGAACATATCTCTATGTTAAAAAACGTATTCAATGTGGTGATGATTGTTTCTTGCTTTGTAATCTTAGAATATTTTGTCTAAAAGTAGTTTATAATGAATAAGAATTGAGAATAAATGTAATAAAGCCTATGAAATTTAGTAGTACTTTTCGACACTACTATTGTGGTGTGTGCTACTTATATCGACATAAGTAGTATATAATGTTAGTCAGGAACAGAATGTCTGGCAGCAGAGAGACAAGAGGATTGAACAGTAAATAATGGGAACAGAATGCAATTTGTACGAAAATGCAAGAACAATGAAGTCTGAGTCATTTTGAGACAATCGATGGACATTTTGCAAATTAAGCATTTACTTTATGATTGTTAGATTTTAATAACAAGTCCTGTAATTTTGTGTCAAATACATTCGATTGTCCCCACTGGTGTTCTTGTTCACTACACTATCATCAAAATGAAATCTTCTATTTTTAATTATAAGGTATATCTCTATGCTTTGTGGTATAAGTAATTCATAAATGACAAAGAATATGGTGTGTGACCCGTGATCTAATTCCAGTTAGATCGCATGAATGTGTTACTGTTGAAATATATATACATATATATATCATCAGTCCTCGTATATAATTATCGACTTAAATCGTGTTGATGAATAACGGAATTAAATAAGTTCAAATACGTGAATAGATTTTTGGATACATATATTTTGTACAATCGTTCATCTCAACAGATAATCAGAGAGACGTAACGAATGAAGCGACGAAGTGAAAGTGAAATGAAACGGTGCGTAGTGAAGATGGCGTGTCAGCCAATACCATTTAATTAAGTGTTAATCTATATTTATAGTCACACAAGTTACAGATATGTGATGAGTATGATAGATGTACATACACATAAGGTCATATAAAAACAGTTAGGGTTAATAAGTGCATAAATTAACAAGATCAAAACGTGACTCAGGAAAAATGAATAGACTGGCCTGTCAAGAAGCTAGAATAAGTTATATGGGCTTAACATAACCGACACTACAAATGTATGGTCAAAACCGTATAGTGATACCATAAATGACAAAAGTTTATATCCAACATAGAACATAAGTTCCTTTAAGATTTACATGTTGTCTCTCGCTGACAAGTGTCAAATAGCACCAAGTTCATTGATTCCCCATAGCCACTATCCAGTATAATAATCTGTTTTATGACTAGATTTTTTTTAAGTTGATCCATAAATCATTAAAATACTCCACAAGTAGTTCATCATCAGGATCTTAAATTTCTTATTTTAACAGTAATTCATTGAATTATAGGAAAATGGCTGATTTGAACACGTTATTGGGCAGTAGGATACGTATTGTTCACTAATCATCATTAGTATTTGGTAGTTGTTGAATTTGAATGAGTTCAAGAAAGGTTAAATATTCAGAATTATGCTATAAGAAATCGTCACTTATATTTTCATTGTACTATGGATAAGTACTTGAGTTATGATATTTTCACAAACCACTAATTGTAGACTCTCGTTAGACTTAGAATCCTTTGTCATGTTTCACAGCTTCACAATCAACTTCAATTAATTGTTTCCCCATTCTTTTGACTTCATATCACATATGGCTTATACATGTACAGATGATGATTTCTTTTTTGTCTTATTGCATGATCAAGTATTTGATGAATATTATCATATAACCTTTTAAGTTGATATGAAAATAAGACAGTAGAGAAGATATCTGATTGTTTATTTCGTATTCCGATTGAGCATTAGGTTATAAAACCTTTGTGTTCCATTAGTTATTTATTTTCTTCGAAATTTGTGTACTGCCAATAGGTTTTTGATATAGAGAACGTCACTGGGCTATGAGTGGACTCTAAAATAAATAGTTCCCTATTATCTAGCTGCCAGATCGACTAGTCTCAACAATAACAGGAAGGTGACTATACAATATCCGTGCACTAATTAACCATCTTCATTAGTCGAATAAAACATTACCATATGATTCTATACATATATATATTGTTATTTACTGCACCAAAAGTAACAAATATGAAAGGATATTCTTCTGATCTCAAGTCTTAATGAAGCTCAAAGTTAAGACTATAATTTGTGGGCAACCTTTGAGCGACGCCGAAATGACCTTGAGAATGTCCACCTACTTGTTAGGGTTAAATCAGTGTTGTAAAGCAGTATGAAGAATAAGAATTATTATTTACAGTTGGTAGTAAGGGTTAGGATTTCTGATTTATGGTTTTCATCATGAACTAACATCAATTAAAATACCAAAACGCTATTTGAAGAAATGGATGGATGAATTCCAAGCCAAAATCCATGACCTATAATTCTATATCTAAGTGTTTCGTCCATAAATTATTGTCTCGTCAGTTTAAAATCAATATAGTTTGTAAAGAAATTTTATTCATTACAAATCAACTTACGTGTAATTGTCATAATCAACTTTCCAACACCACTACCATAATTTGAACTTGGTGGAACAACATGTTTTACAAATAATTTTATTGTTCTACGTAATATCATAAAATTGGCTTCTTCTGACCAGATAAACAATCCAGATCCAGATATTATTAATATGCAAATAATCTTGTAGTGCAAAACATAAAATAAACTAATCAGTGATGTGTTGAAATAATTTGCCTGAAATATAATTTTTATGATCAAATTAAATTATTATGAACTTGTCCCTGATACAATGTCACTTGTCTATGGTGAACTCATTCTTTCAATATAAAGTTATCGAATTGGTACACTGTTATAAAGTTTGGATTTGTTTATCAAAAGATTTTAATTATCACTTCCTAGATAATGTCTTCTGAAGATTCACATAGTTCATAGTGATCGGTTATATTATTAAGTGGTGAGACTATAATTTATGGACGACTATTGAGCGACGTTAAAGTGACCTTGAGGGTGTCCACCTAATAACTAAGACCAAATGAGGTTTATAAACCTGTGTGAAGAATTAAAATTATGATTTACAGTTGATGGTTAAAGTTAGGAATTAAATTTCGAGTTTTGATCACGAACTAACATCAGTTATAATGCCGAAAATCTATTTAGTCAAATGGATGAGTGAATTTCGCGCCAAAATCTGAGACATGTCATCTCATACTTGATTAGTTCGTCCATTAATTATAGTCTTGCCTATTAAGTTATGATATTCATGAATATTTCTGAATGTAAAATTTCTTATAATTTTTTATGTTTATTTCAATTTGATAAGGTATTTAGAAAGCAAAATGAACATAACAAATTATATTACAAAACCGATGGAATACCGTGTTGTTTCACATTGTGGAGTAGTTTGATTTCCTTCAACAAACGAGTTAACTAAGTTTAAGCATGACTAGTTCTACGTATATATATCAACAAACTGCAGCACGAGGCAAGCCTTTAAGCGGTATCTTGAAGCCAAAAGTAACAGAGGAGTAGCGAAGAATATATCGTGTCGGGAATTGCAAGCAGACATTAAAAGAATGAATAGCAACAAGAAAGGATTGCCCAGAACATAGTTCGATGAACAATCCTGATGGGCAGCCTATGCTCCTCCATGAGGGATAACAGGTGCAAGTAAGTTACACGGAATATTCATTGAAAGACCTGGGAATTTCGTTGTGTACAATGAAAGAAACCTATTGCTTCCTTAAAAAGGATGAAGACGTTACAGTGAGGGAAGTTTTCTGTTCGATCCTAACATTTTCTTAAGCTGTACAGATAAATTTTTATGACTAATGGTCTGTATTAAGATAGTGAAGTACTACAGTTTTGCAAAATATAATCAAGTTTTCCAGGAATCGAATTTATAATACCGGGTTAGAGTTACGGGGTGATGCAGATACATTAAGCTGACAAGTACGAAATGCGAAGAAACGCATGTTCTGATCTCTACTGTTAGCCATCATCCATCTCTGCCTAAAATGTTTGCTAACTGATAGGAAAATCAAGGCAATCTGCATAGCACGCACAAATGATAAATACGATTGATCATTCTCAGCTTCAACTATCTATGGAAAGATTCAAATAACCAATGAATATGAATTAACATGTAATATGTACTTAAATACATATTTGATGATTGACTGAGTTTGACTATGTTTGATGATATCGTGAAATCCCCTTTATTTTACTATGGACTACTATATGTAAGAAATTACCTACGACTTGAGAAATTAGCATCAACGACAAGGAATTTTTGTTTGCATACGATTTTTTTTCATCAATTTGAAGGGTTTCAAGTTTTTTGTCAACAAATTACATAACTGATGTATCAAATGAACTTATTTTGGTTACGGGAACGATTTATGAAGAAAATAGGGTTTTCTTTGAATGAAATAATAGTTGGATCAATGAGAAGTGGAAGAGTTTTCGGGTAATATTTATAATAAAACTGACTAATTTCATTTGGAAATGAAAACTTAAATGAACTATCAACACAAAACATTATTTAACAATGTAAACTATAGTTAACCCACTAATACCCAACTTAATACTGTCAGTATATCTTTTCTTACTACATCTAATAGTTAATCTTTAAACAAGAATCAAGACAATTACTTGTCGAGCAATGTAATTTTACTTGGTGTAGACAATATAAACCTTCAAACAAACAACCCACATCATTTATCTATCAAGATATATCACTGAAATAACTTGGAAACTACAGTCAAATCAATGTATATACATTTCAGAGACATTATTAGACAAACGAGCATAGAATCAAACATTTTTCTATAAAATGTTCATCTCCATACTCACTCAAATTCTAAACGCATTATAAAAGTTATATGATTTTATTATTTACTATGTAGGCTATTTTCTACATTTTATCGATCAGTAAACCTAATCTTCAATTTATTTCATTCTACATTAAGATCATGAATCAATCGATGATAAATCATCACTGAAAACCTGAAAGTACTATATGATCGTTTCGTTCTAGTATGGGACTCCTCAATAGTTCGCATTCAGGATCCCGCAGGCGGGAGTCGAACTTAGGACCCTCAGTACCGTGCGCGAACGCTTAACCACTAAATCACTGAACCGGCTTCCAGTGGTGTTAATGTCTAACTTCAACTAATTCATAAAGTTGCGCAACCATCTTCCATTGTCCGAGGTAGATACCTATCTCTGCCTGACACAGATTAGCTCCACTGGTCACGGTTTCTCACTAGAATCCCGAGAATTCCCCGACAAAGCTAGTCACTAGTAAGCAGATGGTAGTTATCGGTATAGGGTTGTGAAGATTGTTACGATTTTGATTGGAATCATGAGTTACTTGACCGTATTACTGTGCAGCCTTATGGCTTGAAATGAATTAAACAAACACATTGCATGTTTGCATATAAATATAAATTTTTATTTCCAAAAAATGGATTGCTTGAAGTTGGACATCAACATCGTTGTATGCCGGCTCAGTGGTCTGGAATTTAAGCGTTTGCTCGTGAGACAGATAGGTCCTAATTTCGAATCCCGCGGGGGCGGGATCGTGGATGAGCACTATTGAAGAGTCCCATACTAGGACGAAACGGTCGTTCAGTGCTTACAGGTTTTCCATGATGGTCTAGCTTCAATTAACACATGATCTCAACTATTGAATCTGAAATCGTTCATTTAATTGTAAAGTTGTATTTTGATGGTTTTTATTGTTCAATCATCGATGAGCAAGGAGGATCATATGCAGACGTAAAGGCAAGGATTGGAAAACCAAGGGCCGAATTCCTACAGTTGAAGAACATATGGAACTCAAAACAACTTTCAACCAATATCAAAGTGCGAATCTTCAATACGAACGTCAAAGCAGTTCTACTGTACGGAGCTAAAACTTTGAGAACTACTACAACATTCATCAAGAAGGTACAAGTATTTATAAATAGTTTTCTACGCAAGATACTCAACATCCATTGGCCGGATACCATCAGTAACAGCCTAATGTAGGAGAGGAAAAACCAGCTTCGAGCTGAAGAGGAAATTAGGAAAAGATGATGGAAATGGATAGGATTTATATTACGCAAATCATCAGACTACATCATGAGGCAAGCCCTAACTTGTATTCCTGAAGGGAAACGGAAAAGAGGAAGGCCAAAGGACACACTAGGTCGGGAAATAGAAGCAGATATGAGAAGGATGAATAACAACTGGAAGGAGCTGGAAAGGATTGCCCAAGACAGGGTTGGATGAAGAAAGCTGGTTAGCGGCCTATGCTCCTTCACGAGGAGCAACAAGCGCAAGTAGGTATGTAATTTTGCTTTAAATGTTTTAGAAAGATCACTTCAAAAATGTTTTTGAAAAAAACAATGACAACAATTGATACTCACCGATGTTATAAAGTTTACAGTGAATAATAATGTATGACTTTTTGCAACGAACATGATGATAGATAATTCTGAAAATAATAATATAAAACACATTTTAAAAAGTTTCTCAAATGTAATAATGAAATATAAGTTTTATATATTACAACATTAGAACATAAACCCCGTGAAAATCACTTGATTCCAATGTCAACATTTAGCGTTCAGCTTTCCAAATTTAGGAAATTTAATTGTCAGTTTACGGGTTGTGGAGATTAAGTTTTTGATTGAGATCATGGACCGATTGATGTTCGACCACCATCGAAAACCTGGAAGCACTGGATGGCCGTTTCGCTCTATTGCGTGACTCCTCAGCAGTGCACATCCACGATCCCGCTCGCGGGATTCGAACCCAGGGCCTTCAGTCTCGCGTGAAACAGCTGTCCAGTGCTTCCAGGTTTTTAACGGTGGTCTAAAATCAACCGGTTCATGATCTCAACTAAAAAATTTAATTGCGTTGTAATGATTGGTCGAACATCAGACAAACCACCATTTCATAGCTTATTTGTGTATGAATTGATCTAGCATAGAAAAGAACTGGTACTTTAGTGAATGAGAACATCAGTGGGAACAACCAAATATATTTGAGTACGAAATTAAAGAAATTCTCAATAAAATAACCATCCAGTAAATAATTCATTTGCAAAATGTCAATCAGTCGTCTTGAAATTGATTGTTCTTTCGTTTCCATACCAAACATTCTTCGTTCTCGTTCTCTTTTCTTTGATCTTCTTAGTCTTCTGCCACCAGATATTTCACTTCCGATTGATGATACATACTACTCATATCTATCGACACCAGTAGCACACACCACAGCACCATGTATATCTAGTCCTCGAAGTAAGATTTTTTTTGTTTATATTTTGTGTGTGTATCTTTGAGAGTAGGAAAATCCCCTCCTATATGGATGTTATATGATATTAACATTGTGTTTATCCTTCAATACGAAGTTATCATTCTCACTCACTCCAATCTAATATGAAACTGATATTTAGTATTTCCTTTCAATAGCTTCTAACAGATACCTAGATTTCAGTAGAGTGAACATATCTAAATTTACTTTAAACTGTCTCTAAATATTGAACTTAAAACGTTTATGAACACTATCGTAAATAAAGTTTAAAACGAACACCAAACAAAGGGAAGAAAACGAAGTAAATTATTCTAGTATAAAAGTCGTATGTCTATCTTCAGAAGAATGAGACTAATATTTTAGCCCATCTTGAGGAAACACTAACAAGAGAATCAGATAATAATCTTTGAATTCAAATATTTTCGTAAACAAATAGAAAGATAGATGGTTGCTAGAAGTGGAATCCAGAACGCACGTCTTGTCCTATATGGGACTCGTCAATTGGATGTACCTATATTTCAGAGTTGACGAATCCCAAATAGGACAAAACGCGCGTCAAACGGGATTCAAATACTAGCCACTATCCATCTTAGCTTATAATACTTGTGACTTAAGGCAATATCGAGGCAATCTGCACATGATGCACATATGCCAACAAGAGACTGAACAATTTTAGTCCTAAACAACAATCGGAAAATACAAGCAAACAATAACAAGTGAATTGGGTACACGTTGTTTATGAGATCTATGATCTAATTTGCAATGTGATATGATGACAAATTATATCATGTAGAAATTAATTCAAAGTAGTACTCTCTATTTCACTTCTAATACATAAAGCTAGTTCAAAATCAAATTGTCCTTGATTCCATTTTCTGATACAGAGATAATTTTTCACTAGATGTCTCGGACAATCAGCTCATCATAACGTTTCCAACACCAGTGTTTTGTAAGGTTCTAAATATCAAACGATCATGTGTATCAGTAATTAAAATCACTATGTCAAATACATCTTATTGACAATCTCAAGTTACTCAAACTGTTCTATCGTGTTATTTGACTAAGCGGAAATAATTTAAAACCAATTCAAACTACTAGCCGCCTGATAACATAATCTTAGTGAATATCAAGTAATTTAATTAGAAACAGATTTGTATTAGATTTGGAGTTGCTTAGTTGACCTTCATTCATTATGAAAGCCATTTTACCATATCCTGTGTATTATTAACGTCACACTACGTTTCAGAACAAAACGTTCCATGAACTAAAGACAGAAATTACGACTTGCAATGGATTTCTTACTCTACATTTCCAACCTTATGCAAACTAGTATATTCCCATCACTACTAAGGGTAGCAATCATCTCACTTCTAAAGTGAAATGAACTCTATTGATTGCAGTCACTGGCTTTACTGAGAAATCACAAATTATGTGGAAACATTTATCCAATGTTCCAATGTTTACAATGTTTCTTCAAATTATTTCAGCTCGTCATAATGATTTGAGTAAATAATTTATGTAATGACATATAAATCTTGTACTTAGGGTACTACTTATTGCTAAAATGTTTGTCTAAAGAATCAAGTAATAAGTAGATTCATCACCATGCTAACAACCTACAAATTTGTCTGTTTGTCCGTCATAAAAAATGTGGATTTTTTTCTCAACTAAGAAGTTTAATGGTTCTTACGTAATTACCCTGGTAAAATAAAGATGTACCAGACTATACTAAAAGATCTACTTACAAAACATATACTGGATAACAATGTCAAGATGTACTGACACATTCAATTTCAGTACAGAATGGGTAAAAGTATAACCTAAGTACGCAACAAACAGTGTCAAAAAAAGAAACCTTTCAGTTTTTGCTCAGCATTCAAATATCATGTATAATGAGCAGTAGAAATATCCCTGTTTAATATTCAGTAGACTGAAAATAACAAAAAATCTATTTCTTTGATAGTGTTAAATGAACCAGTTACTTGAATGTTTCTTTGTAGATTATGAATGACAAGCGAAACTAGACAATCCTATCCCTGAAACTTTTATCCTGATATAAGATATAATCTATTGCATTTCATGAATAAACTAATCAACTATTACCTCTTGAAGTTTTGTACAAAATTAAGTGGTCTATATGGATACAGAGTATTTTTGTTTGTTATAGTTGTAGTCATTTTGTGATGAAAACTTAAACTGTTATTCTTTGATTTTAACTTCAATCAAGAATAATACAGGTACTCCTAAACATGTACTTAAGTTTGGAGAGGTTCATTTGTTATTATTTTTTTCCATTTTACAGTTGAAGTAACCTATTGAAACCTTCAATAGATCTATTAAGTAAAATCTGTATGCATTTTGTAAGATGATTGTTCTCTCTTATTGAAGCATTCAATAGATCTATTAAGTAAAATCTATATGCATTTTGTAAGGTGATTGTTTTCTTATCCATAAACTATTCACAAAAACATTTTTTTCTGACTTCAGTAGTTGAAATCATAATTCAATTGAAACTTGACCATCATGGGAAACCTGGAATAACTGGACGACCGTTTCGTTTTAGCATGAAACTACTCAGTAGTGCGTACACACGATCCCGTCCCCCACGAGATCCGAACCCAGGACCTATCAGTTCTGATTAATTGAAAACTGGCCGGAAATTTGTAGCGGTTGTTTTAAACTCGTTCATTATTTATAGTTTAAACACGAAAAGAAAAACCAACAGAAAACTGATGATTTTCTACTTTAATTTTTTGTAAAACCAATTTATATCTAAGACCAGATCATTCATACAATTAAGTTTATGCGATAGTAATTAGATATAATGTAACAAACTTAAATATCAAATTATAAGTTCATTTTGAATAATTTTTTTCTGGTTAGCGTTTTTTAGCGAGTTAATATGATGAACTTACTTACTTACGTCTGTTACTCCTAATGGAGAATAGGCCGCCGATCAGAATTCCCCAACACACTCTGTCCTGGGCCTTCCTTTCTAGTTCTATCAAATTGTTGTTCATTCTTCTCCAAGAAATAGAGACATGCATGAGAAGAATGAACAAAAATTGTATAGATCTAGAAATGAAGGCCCAGGACAGAGTGGGTTGGAGAATGCTGGTCGGTGGCCTATTCTCCATTGGGAGTAACAGTCGTAAGTAAGTAAGTTCATTATTTCAAGTAAAAATTTCTACATTTATGATGATATAATATGGATATCAGGTTCATGTGTTTAAAATATTTTGCAACGAACTTACCAATAAGAACAACAACAAAGACAACGTTGATTTTCAAGAATTATTTTCTTTAAAGTTAATAACCTATCTGATATAATAAAATATTTCTAATGATAAAATGATCTTACTTTAACCGGGGTTCTTTTTGTGTACACGCATGTATTTAACCTAATTACATTCAATTTGGAATACCAAGCAAACATTTTATGTAAATAAAAGGATTATATTACAAGACAACAGGATTATTGATCGCGAAGATGATAATGATAATAATTAGACAGTGTTGAATCTATTGATTTTAATAAATTTCTTGCTTTGTTATCTTGTGAGTTACACTTATTTTTTTTGAGTAGTTAACTTTGAAAATGAATAAGATTTGTGCTAGAAAACAAATTTATAATAGAAATAACAAGCTAGAACCAGTGTAACTTTGCTTTTCACATGGTGGTTGTTAGGTGAATTAAACTATCGGAAAGCATGTGTTCGAGTCCCAGATTGAACATCAACTCTGAGATGCAGGTACATCCAGCTGGCGAGTCCTAAACAGGACGAAACGCTCTTCCTGAATTCCACTGCTAGCCACTATCCATCATTGCTTACAAATAGCTTGTGAATTAAGGCAATATCAGGGCATACGCACAGTATGCACATATGCCAATAACAGACTGATCAATTGCAGTCTTAAACCTCAATGGGAAGATACAAGCCAGGTAATATCAAATGTGTCACATTTGTTGAAAAAAATGTGTCATAGTATCACAATATAATTGCTGCAATCAAGGTTATCCTATTATTTTGAACTACAATACAAACAAATAAATAAGAACCGCTATTGATATAAATGCCTCAAATATATGAGCTCATTTAGTAATGATGGGAGAAAACAAAAAAATAAGTAGAAAGCTTTAGATGGCTAAACCGAATCAAAATAT